TAGTATATATAGAGAGGTAGGGAAGAGCCTCTCAAGCAAGTTTGGAGAGTTCATATGTAGAGACTTGTTTCATATATGAAAGAGTGACGAATTTTCAGTACCTTGGAGTGTCGATGAGTGTATGAGTTGGAGTGATACCTTGAGAGATTGTGTGAGAGAGTGTTTAGGTTATGAGTATGATGCGGAATCCTAGTCTTCTAGAATCATGATGAGCTACCGAAAAGCCATATGAGGTAAATCTGAGTGAGAGTCAGCCCGGAGGTTGCAGGTCGCAGCAGCAGAAGCCACGCGACCCAGTTCCAGCGAATCACCGAGGATTTCTGTGGCGATAGAGATCCTCGACTCAGAGGACGAGTCGAGTTCGGAAGGGCAGGAAGTGGAGTCGGTGCAAGATACGCCGACAGGAGTGTTGTGCGAGCAGGTGGTACCACTATTGCGGTACCTTGATCGCAAGGCGGCGAAGTATGCTGATCCCCGCCGTCGGGGATCCTACGTCGAGTTGGTGAGAAATCAGACGCTAATCAAAGTCGCGACGAATCCTGTACTGATTTCCCTAGACCGCAAGTACAGAGAGTTGGAGGAGAAGAACAATGTCCTGCACTGACATCTTACACTCTTGCGGAAACTGCAGAAGGCAGTACTGCTGCTGCGCGATGACGCAGCAGCCGAAGCCCAGCGCGAATTCGCGAAGCAACGCACACAGATCGAGGCGGAGCTTCATTCGGAGCGAATTCTGAATAGCACCTTGGCAGAGGAGCTCGTGCGACAGACACGATTGCTGGAGTAGTGTCAGATCGCACGCAAGGCAGATGAAGAGTTATTGCGTCGCCTGCAATCGCAGTGCAACGAATTGATAGCGCAGCGTGCGGATGCGGAGCTGCAGTTAGTGAAATTTGAAGGCGACAACCGGCGCGCGACAGATCGCACGCGAGAGGAGTTACATTCTCTGGGAGGTGGCAGCGCGAGAGAAAATGACCTTGCGCGAGTTAGAGATTTGTGCGGCGGCGTTGATGTCGGAGCCGACGGCGAGTGGCGAAGCGGTTAGATTCCTTCTTGGCGAGGTCGCGAGACACCATTGCGAACCTCGAGGCAGAGGTGATCGCGGTCTTGCGGCGGCTGGGATTGCGCAGTAGAGCTGAAGACTGCTCGGGTAGGGAGACAATGCGCGGTCGACCTTTGCACAGGAGGCATAGCAGATGACATGTAGGGTAGCGTAGAGTAGAGTGATAGGTAGTTTGAAGGTATAAAGTAGTTCAAGGCGTTTTGCCTTGGAATTTTTCCAGTTTCAGAAGTGCAGTTCAAGAACTCATTTTCTCTACGTGTTTGTGTCCTTAGTTCTGTCACCGCGCAAGAGGAGCTACAGCTTGACGAAGTTACTGCATTTTGTAGCTGAAGTCCTTCGACCGAATGCTCTGAGCTAGTGTAATCTGGTTAGAACTTGAGCTGTTTGGACTTACACCTTCGGGTGATTGTTCATGTTTGTACTCCTTCGGGCTTTTTCCCCTTGAATGCCAAAGTGAAGTTTTGTTACTTCGAGTAAACCTTGGTTAACAATTCAGGTTGTACGATGCTTGAGGCGCCTTCGGGGGTAGACTCCGCAATATTTCTGGGAATGACTAGTGGCTGAGAATTCAAACTCGTCAATATACTGTTAAGTTGTGACACTGGATCTTTTCTCAATCGAGTTTATCAGTTTTGAGTCATGTATTCTCTGCGCGATTAGTGAGTTGAGTGTGTTGTTCACCGCGTGTGAGTGACTTCGGTTTGACGAAGGTACCGCATCCGAAGTAGGAAGTCCAACCCGGGTGCTCTGCTCTAGCAGTCAGAGTTAACAATCCAGAGTTGAGGAACACTACCTGCAGATCCTCTAAGTGTACTCTTGAGAAACTTTCCCCCTGAACCTTAAGTGGAGGTTTAACCGACCTCTGAGTTGTGTTTTTCCAGTTTCAGGTGTGTGTTGGGGTGAACTACGCTGCACTGTGCGTCCTCCGAGTGACCTCCGAGTTGAGCACTTGCAGTATTTCTGGGAGTAATTGTCGCCTGAGAAATCAAACTCTTCAATAGTCTGTTAAAACTTGACACTTTGTACTCTGTGTGTTGCCTCTGTCCCTGTCGGTTCGACCTTTTTGCTGCTATACTGCAATTTTAGCCTTTGGTGGGTTATTACATAGAAGATGACAACTTCTTTTTGGCGCCGCTGCCGGGGATAGTGCGTCAGCACCAGAGTACGTGAGGAGCAATGCTTGGTGAATGTCGACGGGAGAAGGCGTGGCTCAACTAAGTGCGCGAGCCACACGAAAACTCCGTCGAGATTCAGAGAAAGCCGTAGAAGAAACACGGCGTCAGAAAGAGAATACTAAAACATCGGAGACTTTACCCAAGCCCAGCTCGACCAACGCCACTGACGGAGAATCACCTAGTGCATCCGAATCGAACTTTGTGCTAACGGAACTGTTAGAGATACCCTCCGCAGAATCCTTTCTAAACTTAGATCAAACCGACCAAGAGCCATCGGCAGACTTCCCACTGGCTGACGGACAAGCCAACCCTCGCTAGCTGTTCTCTCAGGCTTTCACGAAACATTCGTATCCGAAGTACAAGGGGACGATGCCGATTCGTACATCAAACTTTTTGAATCTGTGTCGACTACCAACCGCGAAACCAGTGATGACGATAGGTTGCGGATCTTTCCCAGCCTACTGCGCAAAAAGACACGTAGTTGGTACAACCACGAGAGTACCGACCCAAATGGTGTGAAGACATGGGCTCAACTGAAGGAGAAATTCCTGCGGCGGTTCCGCGAACTTGGCTACGACAGTCGCGTGTTAACCAAACTACGTAACCTCCAGCGAGAACGGAAGGAGAATCTTCGCGACTATACGGAGAGATTCCAAGATCTCCTTGATAGAATTCCGAAGACGGGAGCAGGAGTCTCTTTCTCTATCCCTTTCGCAGAATTGTTATCTTGCTTGAGCTGAAAATCCCGGTTTTCTTTTGCATTCATTATCAAGAAAAGCTTTGTGGGTCAATAAAGTTTTGGTGATGCGTACCTTGAGGATAACTTGGATAGTTGCTTAAGCTCTTTCCTTGTCTATCACAACTAAAGAGCTAGAGGAAAGAACTCTCAAGCTCTTATACCATATTGAAAAGAAAGATGTAACCACACATGTGATTTTGTTATTGGAAAAACAACACTTAAGTACAGTAGTCTCCCGGTTAATTATGCACCTGTTTAGGTATGCATTTTTTTTGCACACAAATAGGGTTCAACCCATGACATGTCCATTTGGTTTATGGTCAAAAATTGTTACTCCTCCTAGTGGTTGTCTCATATCTGATTAGAAGCGTGAACCTCTAGTGGCTGATATATACTCGTTTAACATTAGAGACAAACTCTCATAGTAGAAAAAAAAGCAAGCCACTATCGCAAAATGAAGAAAAGATTATATCATTTTTTTAGGTTTTAGATTATCTGGGGCTATAACAGTTAACGTTGCTAGAGTCCATGATAAAATTTCAAATCACTCTCCTAGAAGCAACACCTTTTACAACTCACTTGGCAATTGAATACGACTTAGCAATTACAAATATGTGTTGGAGTCCATATATGAAATCAATAAAATCAATGCAATATTTTTTTATTTGGCGTGTGAATATGTTAGAAGAGTGAAATTACAAAGTCTTCTTTTTAACTTCATCATACATTAACTGAATTTAGCTTTAACTGAATTCAGCTTTGTGATTTCTTCCGTTTGTCTCATCTTCATGATCAAGTCACTTGCAAGTTCGAGCTCTTCCAATGGAATCATGATTTTGCTAAGTTTCTCTATGATATCAAATAGCGCCAAGTCATTTAGGAGTGTTCATATAAGGTTCCTTCGACATTACACTCAAATCAAACGATTAGGAAGTCAATTTTCTTAGTAGCCTCCCGATCAAGTACGCACAACACTCCCGGGTTCAAGTGCGTACTTAACCGAGAGACTACTGTACATGTGCATAGGCCTATCAAGGGACGGCATGCGGCGGTTTAGCCTAAAGCCACCGCTTGTCTATCCTCGGTAGCTCTACAGTGCGTGTATCGTGAGTGTTTCCAACAATTTGATCAGGATAAACAAACTGCATAAATCTCGGGCAGCCGAATCTTGAGCAAATATCACTCACCTCTTACTGGACTACCATCTGAAGAAGCCTCCATGAATGGAGCTTGTACAGACAGCTCTTATTTGCATAAATGAGTGCAGAATCTGAAGCATTAAATATGTTTCAATAAGCATGAAGCTAACACTGATTTACGTCCTCTAAAGATGATGTCGTTGCTCACTTTTCATAGAGCACTCCACGTTCAAAAATTAACCGGTGTACTTTACCATACACCACTTTTCTAATACAGATAAGTTCTTTAAGTCCGTAAAAGTAGACCGTAATTGGAACTTAGAATTTCAACAAGTGATGGTGCGGCACTACTGTCACAAAGTTATGTGCGCTTGGGTTTAGGGGGAAAATAATATTCTGCACCTGCTGAGGTCGAAGGCGCTGAAGACCACTTAAAATCTCACTGCACACGTGTTCACGGAGCTCGAACAATCTGCCAGATATTGTGGATCAGTTATCTTCACTGGAGCCCGCTGGGGAAGAATTGGGAGCTCATGATAGTGAATGAGCGAGATCGTTGGGTGCATCTTTGGGACCCTTGTTCCTCATCGAGGTCGGTCAGAACGCATTCTCCTGCGTAGAGAGCGAGGTCTTAGGTGCAGGTGATGTTCACCGTGGTCGAAACTCCCACGCACCAACGGCCTACAGAAGCAGAGCCTCTGGCCCTTTCTCGAATTTCCTGACTGCTTGACGGTTCGTTAGCCATGCACTTTTCGTTCCATCATCACCAACTACTACAAAGACACAGGTTCACTTCCAGAGACGATCGATCTGTCCAACAGGCTCCGTTGAGCGACTAGATCTCTCGCCTCTTAAATGATGATTGCATCTCTGACTAGAAACGTGAGCAGGAGTGATATGAGTTCCATAATTTATAGCCCGGGTGCCATAACACTCGGGCAGACAGAGAGAGAGCCACAATGTTGCCGGCTTTACGTTAGTTCTATTTCTTTGGTGATAATGCCTTGACCACTCAGAGGAGCCATTGCAACTCAGTAAGTCAATGTAACCAGATGATACTCTGATCTGATAAGTGTACATCCTCCATCGAGGATCAATCAAATTTTCGATCACGTCTGAGTTTTCTGAGCATCTACTCTAGATTACTCTAGTCCCATACTCCTGACCGGTTTCTGCATGTATTTGCCTCACTGTAAAAAAGAGACGGACGGACCACCTTCGATAGATGGGCAATGTATCCCAGCGACGGTTGGAGTGAGGGCTGATGATGCTTCGTCACCGCGTAGGAGCTACCGCAGGGCTTCAAGTCGTTATCTGTGGTTCTGATATCCATGGACAGATCTGTACGGGATTGTCGAGTACGAATGAGAGAATGTCGAGAAGGAAATGGGACAAATCCGTAATCAGTGGATTCCAGCTCCATCGGGGAGCGAAGGAACGCGGACAACACCGCTCGATGTAACGAGAGGAATCTTGTCAAAAGTAGCAACACCACCTGACCAGCAAGGAACACAACAGAGCGGAAATTTAGAATTATGTGCCACATGCCGAACCTTCGTGGCGCTGATCTAATCAGAACAATCGGAACTACAGAGATCTGAGAACGAAGAGCTAAGACTCCCTCCCTCCCTCGGAACAGACGTGCACAGAGAATAATGCCACGAGAACTGCCTTCCACAACTTCATCGAGGCAAAGTGGCCGCTATCAGCAAATCACAACTTCCTTCTTTAAGAACCGACTCGATTACTTCTCCCTCGAAGTACTGACTCACCTTCCACTTTCAGAATAGGAACGACCTTCTCCCAGATTTTCGAGCTCAGCTGCTTAACTGGGCTTGCGCTGGGGGAACTACCCTGGAGAGTATAAAACAAGCTGTCAGAATCCGAAGTCGGGAGCTTCAGGATTTGCAAACTATGCGTAGAAATATCACAGAATCACAGCCAAAAGCAACCCCTGTCCTTCGCCGCAATGGCACCCCACGATCACCTGAAGATAAACGCGGTCCCCGACGGAAGCTTCGGCCGGAGGCTCCAGAACCTGACCAATTGCAGAGCTAACATCAGCACCTCACATACATGCAGCTGAAATCGGGAGGACCCAAAGGTGATGCTGTGATCGTATGGACAGCTATCGAGGGTGAAGAAGAGAGAGCGAGTGAATCAGTATTCATGATGCTATGCACGATCTACCTGAGGCTGGAGTTGAAAGGGAGAAGCTGTAAAACCAGCGATGTCTGTTGACAGTAAGATCAGAAGGGGAGAAATGATTGGGCTTCTCCGTGCAATTTGTTCCAACGATGTAATGAAATACCTTGACAGATTCCACACCATCCAAATTCGCGTCACCAGCAAGAATCATGGCTTCGCTCAGTTGTCCGGCGAGCTTGGCTGGCTTGAGGTTGAGAATCACACACACTTTCTTGCCTTGCAGCTCTGAAGGAGCGAGGAACTTCTTGAGACCCGCCACCACCTGGACACCACACACATGCTCAGATCAAGTGCCTTCTCGTAGCGGCATACGAGAAGAATGTGCAGCATCGAGCTTTTGCAGTAAATAAGTAGCTCGGCTCACCTGACGAACTTGCCCATCAGCAATCTCAACTTTGCAAATGTAAAGCTTCTCCGAAATGGGATGATCGTCTACGGACTGCACCAGCCCGACCTGCTCCACCAATAGTTCGAGCCAGCTCAGAATTCTAGCCCACGACAATAATTCCACTTCAAGCCCCCACATGTTCACGGGCCATGACCGACTCCAAGCACGCAGATTCAACAATGTTGGGCCGGTGCACGCAAGGACAACGAACACTCGAAGACTCAGAGAGGAAAATGGACCTGGAGGTGCGCTTTGTCATAATTCTCTGCATTCTCAGAAATGCTGCCGCCACTCGGTTGTGCAGCTTTGACAGGCTTGTCAGTAGCTCCTGCTGCTGCTGAGGCTGCTGCTCCAGGAGTCTTGACTGAAGCACCAGAGGGCCAAAATCAGAAGAAATGAGACACACGGAAGAAATCTTGGCAAACAAACCGAAGGAATGAATGCATTTGCCTCCCCGATTACACAGCAATCTCCGAAGGTGCTATCTTCTTCTGATAAGAGGCATCAAAATCGCAGTTCGTTCCGCTTGAGGGCGATGGCAGCAAATTTGAGGTCCTGCGTAGGAGGGCTGCATCAAACGGAGCCATAATGCCAAAAATTTGGAAATTGAAGTCCAGATGATGAGAACTTGGCAAGCACGTACGAGATTTCCTGCCCGGCTTGTTCAGAATGGATCCCTTGCCCGCCTCTTGATCTTCTTTGGAGAGCGCGGCACTCCTGAGAAATACTTGCGGCGGAGCCTCGTCTCCCTGCTCAGAGAGGAATTCTCGTCAAGACAGACAACGACCGACGAGGACGAGGAGTACAAATCCAATTCGAAAGACCGAAAAACACTTCCAGACTTCTCAGGGACCGACTCACTCGCACACTTTGCAACAATTCCCGATCCAAATCGACGTCGACGTCGACTGCCACAACCCCGACGGTGGGCGACTGCGACCAATTTCTCTTTCTACCCCAGCAGATTCATTCCTACTTGCACACAAGGCACGAAACTCAAATCGACAGAGCTTGCTCACGATCCCCGAAGATTCACGGTGTCATCAAATGCACTTCCGCTACCGATTTGAGCACAGGTCGAAGCAAAAGCAAAAGCTGCTCGTGTGAAATTTCCCCACCTTCTTGGCAGACGCGGAGGGCGAGTCCACCGCAGGTGCTGCTGCTGCTGCTGCAGGGTCCGAGCTGGAGGAGGCGGCGGCAGACGGAATTTGCAACCTTGCAATCAAAGTGTCCAGGAACGCGATCGCGTCGTCGATAGCCAGCGGAGAGGGAGACGCCATCGAGCTATCCGAGTCGGAATTCGAATTCTGAATCCTAAACCCTCTCCTCTCTCTCTCTCTCTCTCTCTCTCCCCCCTTCTCCTCGATGCAACTTTGTCCGAGACAATAAAAGCGCTTTCCCATGGAGCGACTGCTGAACCCTAAACCCGATCGATTGGCGATTGGCGATCGGCGTTCTACGACAGCTAAAAGCCAGACCAGCGCCTCCGTCTTGCGCGCTCGTCTCCTTCCTCTTCACATTCCAGGGCAACGAAACCTGACGAACCGATTGGCTAGCAGAGCAGTGTCCTTGCTGCTCGAGATCCGCCGTCCAATTGTACAGATTCTGTCAAATTTCTCAATGACCAGAACGACGTCGTCCTGATTCTTCTTGCGCATCTCCAAGTGGAGGCAGCCATGCTGCTTATTTCCATTCATGCGTATTTTGGGTTTCATATTCTCGCGCCATGACCGATCGACTGAAGTTCGGCTTCCGGCTCGCAGAGTATTTTCTCGACATCGCAGTGGCAAGGGAAGGGAAGCGGGGGAAGTGGTCGACGTGAATGGTGGGAGTGGAATCATCTGGCAGTAAATGTTATCAACTGTCCTGTAGTTGTTGTTTTCGTGTAGGGATCAAAAATTGCCGATGATCTGCTGCTGGTTTAGAGCCCATGGAGCTCTCAGGGGGTGGACTTGGCTGATCAAACTGACCGCGAATCGTGAATTTCTCATCCACTGGAGGTCGAGGGGAATTCCAAGCATGGAGTCATACGGAATCTTCTTTTGGAACTTTTGGTGCATCGAGGTAAGTCAGAAATCAGAGTGGGCTACAGCATTTCCAATCGAACACGTGCATTGGATTGCTTCTCTTGGACGAACATCCATGATTTACATACATCCACGACGAGACGAGAGTTTCGAAGGCCCAAAAGCACATTTTACACAATTTAAGAATGAACAAGGTATAGAAAGTAATTGAGCCAGTTCCTCCACGGAGAAGAGAGATGGCAGCTCAAAACGAGCACAACAAACGATTGAGACGAATTGTATGTAGTACGAGGAAGTGCAAGAGGTCGTCGACGGGATCATATCCACACACATAGACAGGCTGGCTGGCTGGCTGTACACGATGTCGCTTTACAGGGAGCCCAGAGAGGAGACTGACGACGACACAAAGGGCTGGAATCTATCTACACGGCAAATGTGGAAGGTCCGAGAATGGAAATGTGCAGAAATGTGCAGAAATGATCAAATGCTACTACTGCTTGGGTTGACTGGCGGAGAGGCCAGAAACCTTGCGCCCCTCAGGATGCCTCAAAATTGCCCCAATTCTACAACCGCAAGATCGATCGACCCGTCGATGATTCACCGCTGTTCGTTCTTCTGCCTCAGAGAGCGCGCGAGAGTGAGAGCCACCCGAAGGCCGAATGGTGGAGCTCTAAAGTGCCGCCCCGCACGACAGGCGACCTTGGCGACGTCATGTCATGAGGCTGCAGAAGGAGCTCCGTTCTCGGACTAGGGTTCACAGCAAACACCCAACTCCATCTATGGAGATGTGCACTAGAGTGTAATTTACAGGCGGTCGCGGCCCATCCGCGCGAATTTCTCTGCCGATCTGGCCACAACAGCTTCTTCTTCGCCGTCGTCGTCGATGATGTCGCCTCACCCGCTCGATGCGGTCTCACACCGCCATGGCGCCGCGCGATTCCAATTTCTCGGCCTCAGCCTCGGTCTCGGCCTCGGCGTTCGCTCCCGACACATTGAGGGAAGGGTCCGAGCGGCGGCGGAAGAACCAGTTCGCTCGCACGCTGCCCTCGTCGACGCCATCGCCGCTCTGCTTGCTGACGCCGGAGCTCGCGTGCTCCGAATTTTTGCCCATGAAGTAGAGCATCCAGGTGATGATTTCGAGGATGAAGACGACGCAGCCCACCAGAACCAGGAATCCCACGTACCCTCTGCGCCAGCCGTGCCCTGGCGCCAGAATGTCCAGGCCCTCGAAGATGTTCGCGATGGTGATGAACACCACCGCGTAGCCCAGCACGTGGTGCACCACGTTCCAGTACCTGCGCCACTTGTGCCCCTTAGCCGGTCGAAGGATCGCCGTCAGCATCTGCACGAGCATTCCGAGTTTCAAGTCACATTCGTCAAGTCAATCCGGGCCCTCGTCCTTCCCCGCCAGCTCGACGCAATTCGGGCCCGGTCGCAGCCGACGCATTCTCGCACGAGCTCGACATAAACTTGCTTCTCCTCCGTGCATCACCATCACCAGGGCGCAGATTCCATGCCTTCCGTAAGATTGCAACTCATTCTCAATCTCCCAATCTCTCAATTTCATCTTTACTTCTCTTGCAATCCAATTTCCAGTGCGCAATTCGATGCCTTCCGTAAGATTACAACTCACTCTCAATCTCCCAATCTCTCAATTTCATCTTTACTTCTCTTGCAATCCAATTTCCAGGGCGCAAATTCGATGCCTTCCGTAAGATTGCAACTCACTCTCAATCTCTCAATTTCATCACTATTTCTCTTGCAATCCAATTTCCAGGGCGCAAATTCGATACCTTCCGTAAGATTGCAACTCACTCTCAATCTCTCAATCTCTCAACCTCTCAATCTCCCAATTCAATCTCTATTTCTCTTGCAATCCAATTTCCAGGGCGCAAAGTCGATGCCTTCCGTAAGATTGCGACTCACTCTCAATCTCCCAATCTCTCAATTTCATCTCTATTTCTCTTGCAATCCAATTTCCAGGGTGCGAATTCGATGCCTTCCGTAAGATTGCAACTCACGCACAATCTCTAAATTTCATCTCTATTTCCTTGCAATCCAATTTCCTACAGATGGACACAAGCACACCAGTTTTTGATCCGACCATCTGGAAGAGTCAGCCGACAGGAGGTTTAATTGACGATTGGATCGAGCCGATTGGCGGAATTTGTCGACAAATTACCTGAAGATTAACGAAGGAGAAGATCGCAATGCCCAGGTCCTTGTGCTTGGCATGAGGGGAACCAGCCGTGTAGCTGTCGAGCACGAGGCCCAGGGCGAACCCGGCGACGCCAACCACGTAGCCTGAGACCTGCAGCAGCGCGTGCACGTGCACCCAGTAAGGCTCGAACAGCGTAAACGCCCGCAGGTACCGCGCGGCCAAAGCTCCCAGCGGGAGAAGGAGCCCGAAGCCCACCGCGCACAGTAGAGCATGCGCCTGTCACACACCAACCACATCCACGATCAGACCCCGACCCCGACCGCGACCGCGTCCCACTCGGGACATGAACCACGTGCAATTCGAAACTCTCACCGGTTGGAGGGGAGGGCTTACATTTTTCTGATCGAGGTTACCGACAACGGGCGGGCCTGACTCGACGGCGCCGGACGAGAAGTCGAGAGAGGCGAAGCTGGAGAGGTGAGCGCCGTCGAGCGCGTGAGGAGCCGGGACGCCGTCGGTGACGCTGGGGCCCGAGTTCCAAACCTGGTTGAGCGAAGTCTGGCCCGGGCGCAGTTGCACGGAGGCGAAGAGCGTTACCTGTAGGTCCGAGATGCGCACGCCCTCCAGAGCCAGCAGGTCGACGGGCGACGAAACGAGCGGCTGGTCGCGCAGCAGCGCAACGGTCAGGCGGAAGGGCAGCGCCGTGCTGCTGCCGTTGGCCGCGGCGAAGGCGACCAGCACCTCGGCGCCCACCATGCTGGACGGAACGGAGTTGACGCCCCAGGCCACCCAGCCTCCGGCGCGCGGGAGCCAACCGGTGAATGCCACGTGCACGAGGCCGCCCCCGCCGTCGCCGCCCAGCTCACGGAGCCAGGAGACAGAGGCGCCCAGCGCCGGCAGCAGCACGCACGCGTCGTACCGCCTCGCCCCAACGCCGTCCTGCACGACGGAAGTCGCGCACTCCGTCCCGCTCTGCGCCTGCGCCCGCGCGCCCGCGGCGCCGAAGATGATCTCGAGGCTCACGAAGATCGCCGCGGCGACGGCGATGGCGCCCGTGCTCCTCGTCCTCCTCCGCTCCATGACCCCAACCCCGACCCCGCGAGCGAGCGCGGGCGCGGGCGCGGCTCGCCGAGGCTCCGCCGATCGACGCCCGCTGCTCCCGGCGCTGCGCTGAGTCGATTGCAGCCGTCCAGATTGGCGCGCATGCTTCCGATCGCCTCGGGGCGACGGCGGGGGGCGCTCGGGGACTGGCTCGACGGGGCCCGACGGCGCAGGCGCGGCATGGACGTCACCTCGCGGGCGCGCCCATCTGGGAGGCGCCGGGGGGTCAGAAGAGGCGCGAGATGTAGTAGAGCGAGACGATGAAGAGCACCTGACAGACCATCGTCCACAACATGTTCGGTTCCGGTTCCTCGTGCCCCCGCCCCAATCGACCCGGCCCTAGGGTGCCCTCGTAAAATCGGCCTCGTGCTTCCTTCGCTCGCAGACGGCCCCAATCGAAGAATCGAGGAAGCAGACGAAGCAGACGAAGAAGAAGGAGAAAGCTGCCGATCGCTTCTAGCAGCAGCGACGATCATATCCTGCTCGAGCTCCGCCCGATTCCATCGCGTTCTCGCGGGTCTCTTGTCGATGATGATGTGAACAGCAGCCGCAGCAGAAGATCCAGCTCAAGCTCCAGCTCCGAGGACAGAAAGGCGCACAATGAGCTCGGCGGCATTGCGCTTCTCATTGCCCCCTCTCATCCACCAGAGCCTGGTCCGAGCTCGGCCTCCCCCCGTCCCTCGCCCTGCGGCGGGGCCACCGCTGCTCCGCACTGCAGCGCCACTGGCCACCACAATAATTCTCCATCGACGGAAGCGCTGCCCATGCGCCACCACCAGCACCGGCAGCAGCAGATCTCGTTCCGCAGACGCAAGAGGAGTGCGAGAGGCGAGCGAACATCCTGGAAGATGGAGATGGAGAAGCAGACGGAGCTGAGGGGGATCTTCCTTCTGTGGGGCGACGCAGGGCAACAGACGAGCATGTGCTCCATCCGAGTCCTGCCCCCGTCCCCACTGACAGTGTGACGGCCAGCTGTGCAGCCTCCTCGTGCCACGTACCCACCTCCCCAGATCCTGTCACAAACCCACATGTCCACCAAATGCACCGCCGATTGTGGTTCGTTTGTTTTCTTATGCCTCTCATATTTTGTGGATCACAACATAGATTTCTTCCTTTTCGCCCTCCTAGTATTTAGCGTAGCCTCCAAGGCTTTACCCTCATTTTCATATCCTTGGGTTCCGGGATTTTTTTCCAGGTATCATATGCACAGAGAGAGAGAGAGAGAGCAAGAGAGTTTTCCAGAGAGCATTAATAAAATAACAGAATAGAGGGAAAAGTGAAATCATGAGAGTTCCTTCCATCCTCTGGACACGATGAAAGATCTGGACAGATTTGGATTCAGGTGAGGGAGGCATGGACGCAGTTGGAGATTGTGAGTGAAGAGGAAGGGCATGTCTTGTAGCAGTTGAGGGTATCTTGCTCTTCTGGGGATTTGTATCTTCGGAATGATTTTGTTTGTACTGAATGTGATTCGAACATGTATTTCTGGAGTGTTGTGCATTTGTGATCAGACCAGGATTGGTTCCTCCAGTAACGGTTCTTGGCCCAACAAATCTCAGCATGCTCTCTCTCGTTCCATACTCTCTTCTTGGGGACCTTAAACTCAGGCTCAGAAATTCATGAGTTTTATTTTGGCAACTCGGTTCCAGACATTCAGTTGACATTTCTGCGACACATATTTCGAAACTATGTTATAGAAGATAGAACCAATGGCAACTCTGTAGCTATTTTGTACTTTAACTGGGCTCAGAGGGTACGTAGTAGAGAAACTTTAAATTTTCCTACGGGGGTTACTGTTGATTTCGTCCATCCATCTATATGTCTGCACATGGTTTATCTTCATTATGAATCAATCCAAAAAGCTATATGAAAAAACACTCAGTTGGATTCTTCATATTATTAAAATGGAAAATCAATAATCGTGACGAGTATGGAAAAGGATAACAAGGTCTACTTTCAGTGAATGCTCAAGGCATGCTACGGGTTGGAGATGTTTGACGGATTTTGTTCAAGGCCAAAGTTATAGTTAACATGATATAAAGCGATGATATAAGATTAAGTGGAGAATTGTCTCGCTTGTATGAGACATTATTAGTGATGGAATATCGAAACATGTTTAGAATTTTTTTGCTAGAATTCAGAACTCAGAATGTGATTAACTCTGATTAGTTCTACTTCAATCAAGACGAAAATCCTAATGGAAGAACACAAACTTGATGAAAGGTGCCCAAGAATGGGAAGTAGTGTGACGAGTAATACTCAAGCGGTTGCTAACACATTGGATGTTACCAGATTGTGGAGAATCTAAGCATTATTTTGACCGGAGTATCCAAATGATTTTTCTTTAGCCTCTATAACTTCTCTACCTTTGTAATATCAGTGCAATTCTTTCGAGCCTTGGGCCCGAAGGCAAGGACGTCTTCAAACCCATAATCACAACTGTGATGTTACAAATATGATGGATTAGTTAAGCTGGTTAACCGTGACTATGTTGTCAAGATCAAGATACTCAAGGAACTTCTAGACAAAGGTCATCTACAGCACAATGTATCGAACACTATTAACAACGCAGCTTTGTGTAGGTCTTAGATCTCCACTAAAATATTCAAATTTGCATTTGAAAATTGAAGTAATTGATAGAATGAATGACTTGCACATGATCCTTCAACGTGTTCTTAGTGTCATTGATTATCTTAGTAGGATTACCATTGATTAGCTAAGTATACAAATATTACTTATGCTTTACTAAACAAAACTTTACAACTTTAATGAAAAAAAGTGAGACAGACGAAAGATTGATTAGAATTGCAGTACAAGCACATCAAAAAATATATTATGTGCAGTGCAAGCATCCTATGTGCATGTTACTTGAAAGTCTTTGCACTACTCTTACAAGGAGTAGAAGTGAAGCTAAAGTGAAAGAAAATGAGATTGATATATAAAGCAACTTTGATGTTTGCTGTGTAGTTAAAGTTTGAGTGTTGCCCTAGTTTAGGAAGACTATTCCCAGTTTGAGATGGGAAGAGATGCATGACCCTACATTTGATATCATATATACGTCACGTACAATATTAGAGTTCCGAGAGAGTGCTTGTCCTCCTTGGAGCAGATATATGCATGAGTGCATTGATGTTTGTGGGTACTGTTCGTGGCCTTAAGTCAAAATCATAATAACTTCAGTCTCACTATGAATTCCGTGGTTTTTATGCCATGATAGGGTTGGGGCTGAGTAGGATGTCACATATCCACTGAGAGTCACAACTCCGCTAAATATTAAGGGAGTGGTATAGATGCGTCATTATGAAATCGGTCATGTGTGGCCAAGCTTAGAATATTATATTATATTATATATAGATAGATAGATATATATATATATATATATCATAAAATAATTAGTAATAGAATAGAATGGAGAATTGGTCTCAGGCCAACACAAAAAGAGTTTCGCAGGAAAGGGGAGACATGGGAATCTGGCAGACATGACATCCATGAGATCAGAGAAGAAGAAGAGTGTGCAGCAGTCCAGTCCAGCAGAATATCCATATCCTCGGGGGTCCGAAGAGCAATTTTTAGCTTATTCTCAGGGGCCATTGATGTGCCCTCGGATGAGAGCGCTTTTGTCTGTAGCGCAGGAGGCGTTTGTCTCCACTCGCCAGCGAGAAAGAGTGTACGCTTCGAGCCCTTGACGAGCCCCTCCCCCGTCGTTGACTCGTACCCGATGGTGACCGTACCAGGCACCCCAACGATTCTCTGCCGTGCGCGGACTGGACCCGAAGTCAAGGCCGGGCCGGGCCGGAGGACGTGGAAGCTGACGTGGAAGATGACGTCATCCTCTTATCCTCACTCACTCCCTTCTGCGGAAGCTCGACGCCTCCTCCCTCCTCCCTCGGGGGATCTGTCCTTCGCGGACAGTAACCCGCCCTTTTTACCCCCGGCGCGCGCGGAGGGGGAGCAGGAGGAAGCGGGACGGGGAACTGCGGAAATGGCTCTGGACACCGTGCTGAGGTGGTGCCCCTTCGCGCGCCGGTCCCACGTACCCCCCAAAGTCCTTCCCTTGGTTTCCCTTCGGTCCCACGTACCCCCCCAAAGTCCTTCCCTTGGTTTCCCTTCGGTCCCACGTACCCCCCCAAAGTCCTTCCCTTGGTTTCCCTTCGTCCGCTGGAATCTGAGCATCTGGAGGGGCTCTGTGGAGGGGTTGGGGCTCGGAGCTGGGGGAGGTGCGATGGGCAACTTGGACAGAGCGCTTTCGGGAAGGATGGGATCTGATCGAGGTGGGAACTTTCGAGAGCAGGCAGCTCGATTCACGACCGACGAGCAGCGATGGGAAGCAGGGATCTGATCGGATCGGATCGGATCTGGTGTAATCAGAGTTCATGGCTGCGTAGCGTTGTGAAATTCTTGCAATTCGACTGTCGAAGGCTCGAGGTCGAACTTCGACCGAGTGGTTCCAGCTCCGGGGGCATGTTCCGAGTTCCGTGTGCCACAGTTCCAAGAGTACTCCGAGATCAGAGCGGAGCTGCTGATCTCGTTTGGAGAAGAATGTCATGTACCTTTGTGGTACTTGATAATGTGCGACGGAAGCCCATGCTTTCATGGCCGCCAGACGTTCCGTGGTCGAGCAAACTTCCCCCTACTCATGCATCTGTACTGCCTGCCTGGCTATGGTAGCTCACCTGCTACATATGTCACGGACTCGGTCTGGTAAGAGGAAGTGGAATGGACATTGGATGAGGGTGGGCCTTAAAATTGAACCGTGAGGGAGGCCCGAAGTGGAAATGGAGGCATTGAGATTGCAGCACAAATTGAGACTCTCTCTCTCGCCAACGAGCTCAGCCCATGAACAAAAAGGGGCCGCCGCAAGCGTCCAGTCAGTAGAACTGAAGCAGTGCGGGCAGGCCTCGATCCGCCGAAGCCGAACACGTTCTGCATGCCATGCGCTGGGAACTGAAGTTTGCTGCTGAAGGAAGTGAATGAAGTGACGCCATGAGAGATGGATGTGACACGGAAAGCTGCAATCAGACTGGACATGCGAGTCCGTCGTGGACGCATGTGCCGAATTATTGCAGTGCGAGGACGTCATGCATGAGCATGAGCATGAGCATCGGCGAGGAAGCGATGCCTACCACACTACGAGGCGAAGCGACCGACCGGTCGACTCACAATCACTCATTGGTGCTATGGAGTACCTAGGAAGACTCTACAACCTCATGCAGACAATGGCCACCCTTAAGCGGACGGGTCGGGAATGAGCTAGAAAATTACTAGCCATATTCTTGTTGGGTACTTAATTTGAACCACTCAGGTTGTACAAATTCATCTGCACCAAACCAATAGTTTTATGGACAGATTCCATGAGCTTAATCACGACATGATAGTTCTTTGTTTCAGTTACAACAACGATTCTATTCCAGTTCTGTTCCCACAAGGGGAGCTTGCCTCGTGCTACGGTTTGGAGACTCAGAGAGAGTCGGGTAGACATTTGCAGAAATGCATTAGACAGGTTTGGTCCACTGAGAGGACAAAGATTAATAAACCATCAAAGTATAGCAGTTCTGAATGGCCAAGACACTAAGGACTTCTATCCCCAGTTCAATTTTGCCATACGAGAGAAAAGTGATGCCCAGAGCTCCTTAAGTGTGTCTCCAGAGTGACAATCTAAAGTCAACACAAGGAAATGTGCCTTCTGCACGCTATTTCACAACATTATAACACGCAGGGGGTCTAGTCCCTCGGACAGAAATGTAGCCCTCAGCTTGAAAACTTGAAAGGTATTCATGGCTGGTTATGCCGCGCAATTATGGCACAACGTTTCCAGCATAGAACTTTACATAATGAATTGCGTACAAAAGAATTTGAATCATTTACTGTACAAGATGCTGACAAACAATCCTAGTCTGCATCTTCAAGATTTGTCCCTAGCCACAAATTGTTGGTGCCAAACATGACCTTCATTTATGCCCAGTTTAATTTAGTATCCGAGTAGACCTCCGACCGCATTGTGGCACCACCAAGTTGAGCCTCCTAGCGCCTTCTCCTCTCCGAGGCGGTTTGATGAAAACTTGACGGGACGGAGTACTTGTCATCAAGAAGGCACTTCCCCACGACACTCAATACTGCAACTTCCTCCATCGAGTGCAATCTTTTGAGTGCCAACTTTAACCAGAAGACTCTCTACATCTGAAGCGTAGAGAATATTCTGAAGACACTCTCTCCATCGATTGATGTGGCTTGTGATTGCGGTACAAACTCCACTGACATCCGCGCTGATACTCCTGATCTAATAAAGGGGCCACATTTTCTCACTTGCACGGCTGAGCATTATGTACAACATATCTACATTGGTGTGCAGATCAGCTGCTCTGACACATCCCTCATCCGGCCCTCTCTCCTGACGGCTGTCTATTGTTCTCTTATGAAGAGTGTACAGATGGCCTCATGAGTCGCTGAATATGAACGAGATCTTGAAAGAAGGAGCTTCCTTCCTAAATGATGAAGAAACGAAGAGGGGATTTCTCGCAGGACGCGAAGCCCATCCGCCCTCCAAGCTGTAATGCTTTTGTCATCATCATCTGTCCTCCACATCACCAGCTTCTACGGGCGTAGCCTCAAAAGGCCACCGAGTAGCCTTGGAAGTTTCAAATACAACGTTGGTTAACGTATCTTTGGGACTATGTTGTGCTGATCAGCAGCTGAGCTGACTTCATGGACACGTGGAGCGTCGAAATTTTGGGCTCCTGAAAATCGATTCGGCAATGCGACAGCTGCACCTGCCGTGTCCATAATGCCGCACGAATTCGACAACTACCAGAAAGGACACCATCTGAAAAGCAGGAAAAGAACCCAAGTGAGCACGTGTATAAACGAAGGACAGACAATGAAATAGTTTCTGTTCGATCAAATCTTCCAGACTGGAAGCTGACACAACGAAGGGGAGTCAACAATCAACACGAAGGTGTTTGAACCTACCCAACATAACTTTGGCAAAGATTTTCTGGAGATCTGGCCTGTGTGATTAGCTTATCCACTTGAAGTTTCACCGATAACCCCGACTCATCTTGTATAGGAAAGTCTCGCCCCGTGAGTTTGTTGCTCATACGGGTCATTACAGCCAGCGCACGCTCAATTAGAACTTCATTCGCATCTCCTAACTGTCCAACAGCCTGTCCAAGAACAAAGAAATAAATTAATACCGAGCAGAAAGACAACAGATCTGATTCAATATCTATATTCTCTGGGTAAAGGTGATACTAATGGCGCTGCCAGTCATTAACCTTCTTCCCAACATCCAAATTCATACTGATGCTCTCAATATCTTCTTTAGTCAGCTGGGATCTTTGAACGAAAGTCCCCTCAAGAGGCACTGTTAGTAGTGCTGCTCTGTCTAGAACCAGAAAGAATATGATGTTCCTATATCCCTTGCTGATGTTCATGAAATCCAGACAATACGTCTGCTCACGTGATATTTGCCCACTTCTCACTTTTCGTTCGATCAGCTTGCCATTCTCACTATACACAAAGCACGATACACAAACCTGCAACAATTCACGCTCTCGGGCAACACGTCCAGGAAAAGGTGAGGATACATTTATTGTGCTTGCAGTTTCGTCCATGGTTCCACCCGCTTGGTTATGTCTCCCAGGGTGCGTTGATAAGTGTGGGGCAACTTCGTTCAGCGTAAATAACCTCCAGTTAATCAACGGGTCATGCACAAATGCCTGCGAATATACACTCATTAGAAACCTGTAATTCCTTCCAGTACCACTGCACCAGTATGTCATCAGAGAGCTTCAATTATTCAGCTTCAAAGACGCAGGTAGTGGAAGCTTCAATTCACCCAATCTTTATGCCCCACTCATATGCCAAGAATAAAGAAGGAGCATGCCGAGGAAAATCGTCACAAATATAACCAACTAACAAGTCACAAAGGTCCCCTCAAGGACCCCAGTAACCAAACTACAACTTTACAGCTGCATACAAAGAATGTCATACCTCCATCATAGCCATCACACTATCTTTATTCGTCCGAAGAACTTGCATAACGCTCTCACAAGTTGATCTGAAATTACCCTCGATTCCACTAACCTCCATAGCTTTGACAAGCATTCGTGTCAATCTGAAGGGTACCTGTTATCACCATTCATGCATCCAAACAAAAACAAGGCAACAAGGAGCATCATGAGCAAGAGATTTTATGTGCTCTCAATTAGTCCTTCATAATCCCAGTAATTTCAATTTGACTTCCAGTGATACGCTGAATTTGTTTTCCTGCTGGTGCCGCATAGACTTTGCCGATGCTCTCCATGACGGAACGAGAGGAAATGCTGTTAATATGCTGAAGTAAACTATTGACAAGTATGTAACAGTTTTGTACCCTACAATCTAAAATGGACTGAGTAAGAAAGACATTCAGAAAACTTCATTTGAGAGTTAGCTCCATCAACGTTCTTGCATCAGTATGTTTTCTGACTTGTACCTTTTCCGGAAACTTCTCCCTGTTCATGGACGCCTCAAAGCAATCGCCAAAATCGATGTGTAGAATCTTCCCGCTGACACGTGATCGAATGTTTCGTCAGTTTTCTGACTCACATATTACCACAATTTTACTGCTACATAGCGCAAAAGTGACCAGAAAGTATTTAAAGACAAAAAAAATTGGTTTCCCGAAAGGAGACTTCGGTGACGAGTGGTATCAGATCACTTTGACCAAATGACTACAGTTAAATACACCCGAGACGCAGGAAACAACCTCAGACTACTGTCAGTCTTTCACAGTTGTAATAACTCTTGACATCCGGCTGTTGGCTTTTGTAATAAGATAAGCTTGTAAAGCGTGTGATCCATTAGAATTTTAGTACTTTACCTGAATCGATCCAACATCAAGTTGCTAGGATGTCGGTCACCCAGACCTAGCAGATAACCAACCTGTGGGAAAAGTGAGTACCGACCAAGTTAGATTTTCAGCACGCGAATTTTGGGGTAGTTGATTGCACAGAACGATTCATATCCCTTCGCAGAGAAAGACATGACAAACAAGCAACCGCTTCCTGCGCTTTGCATTCCGTAGCCTTCTCTATGAAACATTACCATGCTCATAACAGCCAGGCTACGCGTGTAGTTGGTGCGACGATCGAGCCAAACCTCAGAGCTCCGACTTTTCAACCATAGAACCTGCGATTAAATATCCACACTTATGTTACGCATAACTGACCAACTAGACTTAAGTGGGTTAAGGTTAAAGACGTCACTTGGCAACCTAGTTATGGTTACTTCGTAATCACAATGAGCAGATCTTAGAAACGGAGAGGTCAATCGACTTTCGTCTCATTGAAGTCAATGGACCGAGGGCAAAAGAAGTTTGCTGACTGGATCAACCTACTAATGAGCACAGTCGATCAGCTAAACTCTCGAGTACAAACTCAGGCACATCAAACGACACCATGTGGACCAAAACCGCAGGCATTTCTTCACTGACCTCATTTGATCTAGAACTAAGGAGTGTAACAGGATCATTGTGGTATCAATGTACACATCAGACGGCCCAGAAAATCTCTTTCAGGGCCGTCTGGGTATCCAACTTACCTAAGAATGGATAGTCTAATGGCAGAACCTTAGGACATCCAGCAAAAACTAGTTCAATGCCTTCAACGCTTTAATGATGTAATCGCACGTCAGAGATGTCACTGATAATGAGACAAAGTTTCTTCGTTGACGACGGCGTATGCAGGAGCGAGCAGGTCCATGACATGTCTAACATTGGCATTTCTTCATTCACGGACAACCTAGCAGAAACTAGGCAAAAATCTGTACGTTACTTCTGTAGTCTTCAACAACGATCCCCACTCATGGTTCTTACCTTGGCTAGGTCGTTACCAGACGTACTATCCAACGCATGCTCGAACACTTCTACCTTCGCCATCAGTGTCAAATGCTCATAATCCGGGGCAAATGCCACCATAAGACGATGCTCCATGTTTACAGCAACCTGATTCGTGGAATAAACTTTTCGATTAGTACCGCCCAAACCTTACTATAGATACATAATTAGACTCTGTAAGACTCATGTACGTACAGACAGCGGCAGAAACAAAACTCAGTATTTACAGATTCTCTGCAACTTAGACCACTGACCATAAATTTTGTTTGCAGTAAATTCACGACGATTTCAGACAGATAAGAGTCCAAGGTACTTTACTCCTCTCGTTCCGATAAACAAACTACTGCGGCAATAGCATCCATGAATATCTGGAATATCGAATGATTTGTTTCGTGTAAAAACTAACCTTCCGGGCATCGCGGTACTCGCGAATCAGCTGGTGCAAGGTGTCACAATTGGGAACCCACCCAATAAGACCACTATTAGGCGACAATGGTATGACTGAGTATCGTTGTATCGACAGATCCTTCTCCGCTGTCAGTCGAGAATTGGCCAATAAGGTATTAACCAGCCCAAACAACTGCACACAAGTATCGAGATGAAATCAGCAAAGTTCTTGCTGAACTAAACAACATAATAAGAACGGAACTTCTGAGTGAAAAGCCAGTCAATTCTGCGGCTAGTGAGACTACAATTCATCTAATTGTGCGATCCACTAAAGACAAGGCAAATTTTTTTCTGCAGCACATAACTTAACTACTAAAATTGTCTTTCATTCAACATTCCAAACTGTAATCGATCTGCAAGGACAAACAGAAAGAGAGCAACAAAAATCTGTACAAAAAATTTGACCCTCACGTTGTACACAATTTGTCAGTTGGCAAAAGTAAAGTAACAGAAAGTGTGATAATACGCCGAGCGTAAGAATGTGAAGGCAGAAAAAACTAATAAAAAAAACACTTCCGTCCTAGCAAGTTCGGGCATGTCTAGGGTTACAGACATAATTTTCATTATGTCTGTAAACGGGATCGACATTTTCTATAATCAGGCATATGCAGCACAATAACATCAACCAATTCAGCAGCTCACAGCTAGAGAATTCTACAGTCTGCCGCCCAGCAAATTTGGATGGAAGTGGTGCTAGTTGAGAGGTGCAAACGTCTAGAGAGTCATACCTGCATAACCCGTTCATCTTGCCGTAAGTCTTCGTGGCCTTTGAGAAGGAATGCATATTCGACACCGTCACTGCCATGTATGGTACATTTGCGCGGGCGCTGCTTTGACGTTATCACAATCAACTGAGGGGCGAATCCTGAGATTGTCACCACCTCCGCTCCTAAAAGACCAGTCATAGATGACAGTTACGTTGATGACGTAATGACCGGAAATTACAAGTACAACCTTACTAAACCAAGCAGCAAGCTAAAAAAGGAGCTGATCTAGCATGAACTGGCATCATAAAGATGATATCGGTTGATGAACTTGTTCATTAGTTCCCAGAAATGTACCTGCTCTGTACGTTCCTGGGACAGCAATCTCCAGCGGACCTGCAGATACCAGCTCCGGAGATACATTCTGCACTCACAAGATACGATTAGCCATACTACATCGCCGATCTTCTAAGTTTCCTCACGGTTATCTCATCACAGACGAATATGTTTTATATTTGACACTAGTGAAATTCATCTAGTTGTTACACCATTTCCGATACACTGAGTTAGCTTTACTACTTGGAGTTAGCCCAGGCCCATTAGAATTGCCAGGAGGACAAAATAGAATCCTCAGGCGAATAGGCCTCGTGCAATACATACCTGTAGCTCAAGAGTAGTGAGACTTGGAAGTTGCCTGTTTATACGCTTAAAAACATGATAGTAGAGATCCCATGCCTGAAAAAAATAATCAAGGCCAGCATTAGAAACACCCTGAACCAGGAGTTACTGCTATGGTAAGCCAATGGTAATCTGCTGGAGTCTTTACAATATGAGTTATACAGATTGGAAAGTTGTTGAATATACAAGAATGTTTCAAGAAATGACAGGTAATCATGGCCCTGACAGTCACAATCTGAGGACAAGATCAGCTTCGATTCACTGAAAGTAAAGAACCAGTCAGATGCATTTTCTCAAGGCAAACAACGCTGGACAACCTGAGTAAGTTCAGCTTCCTTGCCGGTGCGACGATACTTCATGCACCACTCATTTGCCTCTGCAAGTTCCCGGCCGTACGTCTGATCGACGGTCACAACAATAACCAGACAAGTAACTTTTGCTGTCAAAGATTGGTAATGGACTCAGAAAGAAGCGCCGTCAAAACAGCTTCCAACTTTCAGATCAGCAAAGTCGTTAGTAGTCATCTATTTAAGAGTCTGAGGTTGGTCGAACCTCACTGAAGGCGCAAACATGTGAATTACATAACTAGATTCAGAGTTTATACAGAATACGGGCAGAAGATCCACACTAGTTCAGTCCTCAACTCAAACAAATTCAGGCCAATTCAAGCAACACATTCGTCTTCCATGTTTTACCTGCACAAAAGACTGTTCGTTACTGGTCACTGGACCTTCTTTTTCTAATGTTGCATGAAGTGGGGCCAAGACGTTGAGCATTCCCTCGGGGTTCCGCTCTCCAAAATAAAGGCGACTTGCTTCCTCAAGAGCCTCGTGCCACATCTCATGCCACAGAATTGCAACCCTTATCAACTCCTTGGAAACCATCTGTGCCTGTATAGGTTAAACTGAACTCGTTAGAATAGTCAGACATAAAAAATCACAGCTTTTTGTTTTGGACTTCAGAGTAGGCTATAAAAATCCTGCTATGCATACAGACAAATTTATGAAAATCGTTATCAACAAAGAAAGTAGTCATGTATTCAGACACCGTATAGACTCACTGCACCCTGCGATAAATCGAACACTTGTGACTTATGCATGGAAAATAGAGACTGACCTCCTCTACCAGGCGATTACTGTGTCGACGAACTTTATCCACAACTTGCTGCGCGGCGGTGCGACGTATAGAACTTATAGATTTGCAGGCCACAAGCAAAGGATACATAAGCGCCTGGAACAATGCGATTACCTTTCGTTAGCATTTCTATAAAAGAATGACAACTCTGCAAGTAGACCAGGAGAGGGTCAAGAGAGGAAAAAATAACCTGAGGATGCTCTTCACCAATCTTGACCAAAAGTTGTTGAATCAAGTCTCGAACGGCGACCGTATTAGAATGAATTCGGGCAATAATTTGAGGTAACACTACGAGCCATGTATCTATATTCACACGTGTAAACCCATCTTGCAGAGCTTCTTGGACTTGCGGGCAGGAGCCGTGATTGAACCACAGAGTAAGCAACCTCAGAATATCCTGTCAAATACAATCACACAGCACTTCTAGTTCAGGTCTTGCCTTCAAACTGACACTAGCGCTGTAATGGAAAATTGTAAAGTTCTGATGAAGAACCATAACCTACTATATTCAGTTTCAAAGATAGACGGTGCTTCAATCATCCATTGCCCACCAATAACAGCTCAAAATGTTCTCGCTGAATAAATTATTTGAGTACGGATGCTATAAAAGGTTACAACAAAGCAGTATCTACTCTAAGCGCCAGATAGTCACGATCTCGAACCTGCAGGCTGTCGTCACCTCCCTTGGTTGCTGATGCATGCTCAATTGAGCAGAAATAGCCTGTTACAGCCTGGACAACATGAGGGGCTGCAATCTTCAACTCGCCGAGCTTCGTATAGTGCGACATAACTGCTGTGTTAAAGAGTGCCCACTTATGCCAAGCTTTAGACCAGCCTCTTGCTAAGTCCGTTGCATTCCTGAAAGCTCGCAGAACTTCTGTAACACTCCAAAACAACGGGTAAGGACAAGCTAATAGGTATGACAGCTAGGGAGTTCACTTTGTTAAATTTTCTTTCATACCTATGGTAAAACATTTAGTCCCCAATGTCTGAGTACAAGAATGACACGCAGTAAGTCCCAATAATCACTCCTTAAATCCTCTAATATTAACACTAATATTTCTTAAATAACAAAAAATAACATGTTAACTGGAACAAGAAACACGTTGCTCTACAAGTATTGCTCTATGAAACGCGGTTAAAGTATTTCGGATTTCAATTTGAACCTTTTATCGAAGAATCGTTCAAAGTGGGATTAAGGTTCCATCGCCAGGTTCCAAGCTTTAGATGCACACGTGCCAGCAAGGGGATTGCTGATCCAGTAGCGCCACTGACAGCACCTGAAGAGACTGGATAAATGACTGCACCGTTGACAGAGGTTGGAGTATTGGTGTAGGCCATGTTACTACTGTACTGAAGCTCGACCAACTCTGCATTCAGTTTCTTCAGCACATCATTCACATCAACAATATTTGTTAGGCCCACAGAAGTTTGCGCCCCTAGTCGAGCGATAACAAAGAGTTCCTTATTCCACCTACATATTACACGATTATGGTATTCAAAGTCCAATTTATTGAAACAAGGGTGACTAAGCTACGATGTAAAGTAAGCAATAGACTAAGCACCAGCCTCTGCTTAAAACTTGTAGGAGCAGTAAACGAAATAGCAGAGATCATAGATGTGCGATTGATGTGGATCACCAATCACATACCTGTGAAAGTACCTGAAGCCTTTCGAACGTTTCTTGACGGGGTAGTTCATCAGGATTGGCCCAACGGTATTTGAGGTAAGCCAGCATGATTTGGGGTGGCCCGTTGAAGTGCAGGTCCTTCGATGATTCATGTTCCGGATCATACTGAGAGAAACAGACAAATGAGCCAGCTGTTTGGTGAAATTATGGAGATCCAGAAAACCTGGAAAAGCAACCTCGAGCAATTTTGATTGGGAGACAAGTCATCGTAAATAACTGCAAAGAGGTCCTCCTTAACTCACCTGCATTAGCTTAACCAAACAAGCTTTGGCATGACGCAATCGTCCACTTTTACGGCACAGCGATGCAAACTTGAGCCATGTCTCAATATCGTCTCTCAAAGGTGGTGCAAGCGTCCGAACTGCTAGCAATGCTTGCCAAACCTTCAAAAATTCAAGCAATGTGCATCTCAGTATCGCACGCTTGCACAAAACTGCATGCAACAGAAAATTCGGTTACGGCATCCAATTCTCTACTCTTACCTCCACTTTCTTCTTTGTGCCTAGAATTCGATCACTCCACATTTTTCGTATCAATGCACCCCTGGCATCAGGGCTTCCATTGGATGGAAGGGTCACGAAATCTATGACCTGCTCAATAGTTCCAAATACGAATACATTATTTCCAAGCACTTCCACAACGTTGCAACTTTGATCCAAATCCCATCTATTGTAAACAATTCATGCCGCCGAGAAAAAACCGCACAATCTGTCGCTGCAGGTACATAGAGCAAAGGGGGAACAAATGTGACACCAAGCTATAAACAACTGAATCTATATTTGCACACAGAATGGGAAACAGCCTATGCGTCACAAATGCTCAGCTTAACGACCAAACTTATGAAAAACTTGGGAGCTAGATTGTGAGAAAAACTACCAACCTCTTCAAGTTCAGCGAGTTGCTGAACTCGCACCATGTTGCTATATGCCCGATCGTAGCTTTCCAGCACCTGCCATGGGAGATAAAAATATCAATAACGAGAATGGCTTTAAGCGCTATAGCTGAAACCCCATCGAAATAGTCCCATTTCTGTTAAACTGTCTTTCGGTCTCTCTCAATAGAAGTAAAATAGTAAAGGGTTGGATCAGAGACTAAAAAACACAAGTGAAGTAAATAATTTGCCCTTCTCTGGCCTCCATGAGGTACTCTACAAGAATCGGTGCGAAAATAAAAAATATAAAGAGTGTCTGAATTATTCCACATATCCACTTCTTTAAAATAATAGAGAGATCCACTTCCATTTTTCTAAATTGATTCTGTCAAACTTCATTCCCATGAAACTTGAAGTTCGACGCTTACCAGTGCGGCAAGCTCCGTGGCAAGGCAGTTACGGGCGTTTTCGATGAACACTCTAGCTTCATCATACTGTGAAACAAACATCTTTTAGAATGCGGAACACGCTTGATAGCAGTTGAAAATGTGCATATATACTCAGCTGTTTAAATAAACAACACATAAATTTGCTGGACAAGCTGTTTCCATGAACACTAACCTTTTGACGCCTTACGCACAAGACCGCTCGAAAAAAGGCTCCATCACTGCTCCCACTACCACTCCCGGTAGCAGAATGGGTTGACATTCGCACGTTCGGATCACTTCCATCATCAAGACATGACACGTACTGGTCCATCTCATCCCACTCTTCCATGTTCCAGGCAGCGCTTGCAGCCTGTACAATCGTCCGTCATTGAAGTAAAATATACAACACAAAATGTCCGGACTAAAATAATCTTCGTAATACATCGTTTTCAGGCTTACATGTATAGTCGAAGTCATTACATAGTAGCCCAAAGCGTAGAGAGAATACAACCCAGTACAGAACGTGGATGGATACACGGACTTTGATGTCATTAACAACTGCCCCACGTTGTTTGCTGCCTTGTAAGATGAAAACGCAAGGCAGAAGAGCTAACTATATGGATTCAAGTGGCGTATTCCTAACAAAAACAGTAAGACTCCACACAAGAGAAAACACATTGTTGTCAGTAGACGAGGGTCACTGAGAAGTAAAAGGTAACCGCACCATCGGAGCCATCTCCAATCGACGGGCATGTTCAGCTGGGGCCCAGGACTCCCGGCAAAGGTTGTTTAACTCATCCCAGCGTGCCAAGGCAGCAAAGCACCTCATTTGCCCTGCAGTCCCAAAGAAATTCGAAGTTTTACTATTAAATTAACACTTCACTTCGACAAGAACAAAATGCACATGCGAGTTATTCGTTAGTGAATCGACAATAATCATAAGTAGAAAGAAGGAAACAACATTATATGATCATTTGCATATTGCTCTTGAAGTGAGGTACTTTATACCATAGAAAATGGAATGCTGTGTATGGATATACAGAGACCAAGTACAGATACTCAGTACGGGCCTTGCAAATTGTGACAGGCTTTTAAAGGTGTGACAATTCATTGAAGTCATAAAGAAAGCTGCTGGTGCCACGATGATTGCAGTGAGTGAAAATTGAAAGCTAGAGGCATGAACTCACGGTAATGAAGCTGTAAGCTAGAGCATCAGATCAAATCCCAGTCCACGAGCAACAGGAAACTGAAGCCATGCATGATACAAGCTGGATACTACATAATCCAGAGCGGAAGTCGATGAACTGGGAACAGAAACCGTGCGCAAAAGAAGGTGGGAATCTAAATCTTGCAGGACGAAGGGTGTTCATAACTGAACTCAGAAAGAAGTCAGTTGATCGGAAGTGGATTAGGGGTGTGAACTAAAAAGCGACCAAGTGGATCCGACGGAGAAAAGTGCTCGCAAAGATCCTCTCGACGCTAAAGGGTCATCACGAAACTGAAATCAACGAAGAAATATGGCATGTGAAAGCAGTACGCGATGAAAAAATAGTCTGAGCACGTGACTTGAAAATTTCGTAGCTCGAAGTCTAAAAAAGTGAAACATGTATACAGTGACACATGTGACAAGCATAAGTAAAGTTAAGTGAAGTAAAAGAAAGGCATGCAAGACTCGTATGTTTTTCACAGCTACTTACTGTCGCAGCACCCAAAGAATCAGGGACATGACCAGCCAAGGCATTAAATTGCATCAGAAAAACATGAATCATGCAGTGTGAGCCGGCACGGTGAACGCCACAGAAGCCAATGACCTTCCCCAAAATGAACTGGCATTTATATAAGATAGCAGATAGTCAAACATATAGGCTTTATATAACAAAAGGGTGTTCAGCCCAAGATTATCACAGAGGGAAAATAAGGACCGAAGAGACGGTGAAATGTACTCATTAACCAGACAGTGCAAATGATCTGTTTGCAAGGCCCACATAATGAGTGAACGTTACATCAAAGAGTAGACGAACGGTAGATGCGACCACTTTATACGTAGTACATCAGGGTTGAAGAGGTAGAGCATTGTGACGTTAACATCACTAGGGGAGGAAGAACATAATTTTCAGAATCAACTATTGGAACGTTAAGATTTGTACGTTTTCATCTACTGTATGCTCAGAAGGCAGGGATAAAATATGCATGAACAAAGAAATTACAGATGTATGAATCGAGAAATATTCCCAATGAAACAGGTATTACATGATCAACCAAAAGTGCTTAGCATGTCGGAGACTATATAATACCAAGCCGTGAGGTGCAATTTCAAGCACCCTAAGAAATTGATAATCAAGGACGCAGCGCGTATATAAGCGCAGCAAGGCATGGCAGAAAGCAGGGCAGAACAAATTCTGTAGTAAAATTTACTACCCTCAAGAGGGTGGTTGGTTCAACTCTCTAGTCCACAGATTCAGATAAAAACTGTGACGTTTGAATCGATAAGTTTTTGCGGTTGAAATGAAATCATCACCCTCGTTATTTAAAACTTGATCAGTGATAAATCACAAAGAAGTTAGGAGTCACACACCTAAATTTGCCTCTTGCTTGCTGTCGGACATATGTGTGGCTTGGGCGGCCTTGGTCTTATATGCAGCAAGCGCTTCCTCCCAGCGTTGTAACTTCTCATACCTGTGCATCATAAACAAAACGTGAACCTCAATATAGATCCGAGAGACAATTCCGTAGTAAATGTTACTGGTACCACGTTTGTAATAAGCAGCTTTCAAATAGCCGCACGGTGTGGCAATGCTTGCTACACCGTGGAATCAACAATTAGACAATGATTCCTCTCTTCGAGCAAAACCACGAGGCTAATTTGGCTCCTTGGTAAACCGGGCGGCAAACCTGGGTACCTCCATTGAGAAGCAATAATATATGGACTCTTGCATCTATAGATCAAGGCTCCAAAAGGCGATTGACAAAAAAATGAAGTATAAAACTAAGTCTAATCATTTTAATCTTATGCTATCCCAGAATCTTCGAACTTAGTCGCATTCTCGAAAATGAATCTATAAAAAATAACTTACCACGTTTCCTTCAAAACTACATTCAAATGATCTTGAGCGTAGACCAGAATGCCCATTGCAGCCTGTACAACCACAATGACGAGCATGAGAAAGCTCATCAATTCAGGAATTATTTAAAGAACGGGTGAGTTATCCTGATACGAATCTTTTGTGTGACTAATTCAACTGTGATAGAATACAGGATGGAATGCATCTACATCAAAATGTCTATTACGCCCTCACACGTAGAGGAGATCAGGGAAAATACAGTGAAACACTAAGAACAAAAGTTTAAAGTGCATTGAATGATGCCTGCATTGCCCACATATTAAGTACCGTTGAGTTCACACAGGAAATGTCAGCATGCATCTTTGACTGACGTAATACATCAAGTATTAGGGAGTTTCCACAGTGCAGACAACAAATTCTCGTTGCTAGTATCACAACGTAAGGCGACCAGTTCAGCTCGTATAGAAAGAGACGTCTACGTTTGGAAGCAAATATTACCATAATCCATATATCACGGTAGAAACCTTAGAAGAGTTTAAACAGCAATGAACGAAATAAACCTTAAAACTGTGGATAAATCAACGCTTAACAAACAAGGAAGAAAATTTTCAATCCTCAGAGGATACTGAACTAGCACAACCAGCGCTACAAAACTCAAGCCAGCTAACCAGAACCGAAGCATGTGGATAATTATGGAGCTATGTCATAACTGACATGATTTATTGCAGTAACATTTAAGTAGGAAAAAAAAATCGGAATGCATACTTACTTCGTGCTGATGCAGTTGATTGTTGATGTGAATGAGAGCCTCAACAGCCGTCTCTGGCTGTGCGTCTTTGTCCATCGCCTGAGCAAACTCCATTTCCTTATAATGAAGTGCTTTGGCATAGAGGTGACACTGCATTGTGAAATTTGATGTTCACGTTCCAGCAAGGAAAGGCATGAGAGTCATGTTAGAGAAAGAAAAGCACAAACTTTCTGTAACATAGAGCAGCAAAGTACATAAGGGAGAAAAATAAGGAAATCTTCAAATAGGTTGATAACATTTTCGCTAAAATCAACCTTAACGACCAACAACGCTGTTAACTAGTATCACAAATTTACCCCCTTTTGTAGTCAATTCACGGATTGCAGGTCTTTCTATAAAATTAATCTCTCTAAAACGTTTCAATAAAAGGTTAATCTCTAAAGCTTTGGGGTGGTTTGAAGTCAAACCTTCTCCGCAAGTGCCCCTAGAGTGCGGATATCGATAGGAATGGGCTTCTCGTCATGTTCCATAAACTCTGCCTGGGAGAACATCCAAGAAAAATATGAAACCCACAATAAGGCCTAAGGACGAAAAGTATTAGTACTACGTCATCACATTGAGCAAGAAGGGTACGTTCTCTTATCTCCACGAAATATGATGCGGACACTTGGTTAGCCCAGGCACATTATTGCTTCTCTGGGCTATGTGACCCATCACAGAAAATAGACAGCCCTGTGAAGCCTTAGTCACTCAAGCCGGACCAAGGTCCACATTGAAATCTTACCAAATTCAGAAGTGTAGCGAGAATTTCTGGAGGAATGTTAGGGGATGAAAATGCGTTTTGAAGGCTGCGAACTAGCTGCATCTTGTAATTTTCGTTTAGCTGTGACCAACAGCTGACAAATCCAGCAGCGAAAAGTTCTCGCGCTACATGAGGCTGCCAAACACCAGAAGTAATATAAATGACGCAACCATTACCTGAAAAGTAGACACTTACGTACAAACATAAATTTCGTCCTTACTGACTAAAAAACTCCCGGTTTACAATTTACAAGATTCTCAGTCTAAAAGGCGATTTCTGAAACAATTCACATTTACAATCTCTCTACAAAGAGGTCTCATCGGAAATTGTGGACACGCCAGGAGACATGGTGTCCAATATAAAGCTTTCCCATATCTGCACTTACCTGTAGCTGAGCAAGGCCCGCACAGGTGCGAAGTGCTGGAGAAGGGGACTCTTTTAGCAGCTCCACGCTTAGATGACGCATCCATTCTGTCCAGTCCTCTTTGGTACTGCGATGGGAAGATTCCCAAGCACTTTTGAGATGACCCTCATTGACCTGCGGTAGGAAAACTGAAAATGTTCAGACCTCTTAACTTTAAGCCACAATGACGAACCTTCACCTTCATTCGCAACGGCAACAGGGGTCCGACATGCTGATGCCAGAGTGTCAAAGTGTTCAACCTTCTTCCTTACCTGACGGGAATAAGACAGTATCAATAAACCTCTCATCTCAGACATGCAATGTTCAAATATCAATATTACATCTCCTAGATACAACGTCGCCTGAAAAATATGTTGAACTCATTTGGAGAACAAAAGGCTTTTCCACGACTGCAAATACACTTAGTCGACGCAGTAATTGAAACAAATAAACATCCTTCAAAAAGAAAAAAAAGCAACGAAAGTAAGGAGACGGGGGGAAACCTTAAGTGAAACTGATGAGTCAAGACCATCGTCGTAGCGCTCGCCATCAGAATCCAAACCCAGAAACGAATGCATGGGTGAACTCAAAACTTCACTGAAAGAATTGGGCGGAGTAGCGGGTTCAAAGTTTAGCATATCCAAGACGACGGGCTCACGCCTCTTCAGACGGGCCTCAATATCATCAAACTGCTTATGCTGCAAGCAATAAATTTGCAATCCAAGTGAGTATCATTCCCTATGAAAGGTTATATTGCGGGCCTCTGAACTTACTTATCAGATAAAAGTAACAACTATTATTTCGACGTCGGACGATGTGTGTCTGGAAAATTAACACAGTTTTCTAACTACAAACGCCTTGCTCTTTCTTGCGGCTTGTAACACTTAGAAGATAATGCTTTTGTCGAATACATTCCTCAAAAGAGAGTGGCCGTCAAAGCACGTAATAAGTACCCAATGATCCAAATTATCGGTTGCTTTTTCATAGAAGGTAACGATAAACTAAATTACTGAGATACTTTGTAACAGTTTCCTCGCCAGTATGATGAAAACGGCTGACTTTTGTATGAATTCGCTAACTGACGACATTCCAAATTGACATGGATCTAAGTTAGTGTTCAACATAACATGAGCAAGGCAACGTCTTTCCAAACTGGTTTGAAGCAAACTGAACCATGGTACACGAATTCCAACAAAAAAATTCCTATCGACTTCTGATTATAGTTTATTTTTCCATAAAGGCTGCCTACAATCTCCACCGAGTTGGCTATAGCATTCCTGATCAATCCGCAATGGACACAAGCAGAGCACTTCAGAACAATTACCACGATACGATGGCGTTGAAGCAATTTCCGAGTTGAAGGTATGAACATAACGAAATCAGTACCCAAAGGCACAGCTAAAGCACATATTGCGTCCACCGAATCTTTCCTCAATTCATCTATGTTCCTGTACAATCAAACGAAACAAATCGAAATGGCAAGGTGCAATTGAGGGTCCCACACATAACTCGTGACAACCTCAGGTGCTACAGCCTAAAGCAAGCCCAAGGTCTAACTTTCCAGAACAAGCTTAAAACCGAGTAACTCGACAGTCTAAGATAAATTTCAATCCAGAAGAATAGAAAGTAGGAATATGGTCCAATGCTGATCAGCATACCCATCCAGTACTCGAGAAAATGGATGCATCAGAGCCGATACGTGCCCTGAAACCTACATATCAGGTGTCGAAGGGAACCAAGTGTTAGTGATACTTGTAAAGTGGTCCTACAGTCCATCTACGCAATCTGAACAAAATACTGGGCAAGGTGGGCTCCACAATTGAGTTTATTTTTTGTCTCTGAAGGAAGTACCAGCACTTTGAAGTTCCAATACACCTGCAGATATGGAAGCAGTGGGATAAGAAAAGTCATATACCTGCATACGTGGAAGTAGCCGCGCTAGTGTCTTAATGGCTGCACTCCGAATTTCAATTGGGGCGTTGGAAACATCTGGTCGAAAGAGGCGAACCAGCGCCGGGAGAAGTAAATGCATATGCTCATCCAGACTCCCTGAAAACAAGAAACACACCATTGGCGGTTTAGCAGCGTTGGCAATAGACTCAACGAAGCACTCAGTTATACTTCCCGTACTAGATTTGAAAGATAAATGGTAAGAGATGAATAGTACCGCCAAATACTTCGAATGTGTGCAGCACCGGAGACACGTAGGTGAAGTTTCCGGTGCGCTCTGCGTCGGTGAGAACTTGGACACAGCGTGGCAAAATCTCCGGCAAATAAATTCGAAATTCATCATTTAGAGCTAGACAGAGGTGCTCGACCAGGTTCAGTACCTGAAGCAGCCATGCATTCCACCGACTTCAACAATTTGAACTCCATTTGCAGCCAGCAATAAATTTCAATCAAGCTTTACACAAATGGAGGTTTCCCTTATGAGTTTCAAACTTCCATCTGACCCTTAAGATCATGTGAATGTGTTTATTAAAGACCAATGGAGACGGCGATTGAGATCAAGATTACCGGAGAATCAAACGAAGGACGCCCTGAAACGGGGAGCATCAAAGACGACCAGAAATCTGAAATGAGGCTAAGAAGCTCTGGCAGATACTTTCTGATGTGCTGCAAAAAACCACAGGGAACCGTGAATCGTTTAACCTTGTTCATTGTCTACGGCAAAAAGTCAAGTAGTCACAGAAACTTGAAGTAGCATGTTTGTTGCATCGACGAGTGACTGAATGTATGTATGCATGTATATACATATAACTCACATCAATTCTCACAATCGCATTCCTCCTGAAACGTAATATTGGCTAATACCAATCCTCAGAGGTACTACATGTATATTACCATCGCCTTCCTTCCTCAATTATTAATCCTAGAGAATGCTAACAATACAAAAAGCAAAACCATAAACAGAAGATTTCACATTGCATGTCTAGAATTAACAAAGCCACGATCAGGGATCGCCAACAGTTTTAACAATTTGGATCTTTCAGATATAAGGAAGGATTCCCAGAATATTGCTCTTGAATTTTCAAAATTGGGTGAGTAGGCTCTACGAAGGTGGCCGTACTTCACGAAAGGAACCACAACTCTTATCTGGATGATAATTCAAACTATGTTCCACAACATGGTCATAATCGTATGGATTTGTAATTTATTCAATATACTTGGTGGTCTATATCGTACTATCTCTAAAAGAATAAGTAGAAGGTTGCAGATAGCCAACCTGCCTCACAATGGAAACCAGAGCTGCCAGGCAGCGAAAGATAAATTCACGCAAGCTATCTTCACAAGTCCGGACGGTGTGAAAAAGATCAGGCAGAACCTGCACATAAAGATCGATCATACCACTAGGTAAAAACACACAAAAAAATGTGCAGCACATTATTGTTTGTAACCAAATATTGAGTTGATACTACGCGGCAAAACTTGATAGATACCATTTTGGAACATGTTTACCAGCTGCCTACACAGCGAAGCTTTCTATCCTAGTACCAAGAGAGTTGAAGGGGAATCAAACAGCCATTACCTTTGGAAGATATGGAACAGAGCCAAGGCCCATTTTCTGCGTGGAAATTCAAGACATCAAAACGCAGAAGTCTCAGTAAGCTAGATAAGCTTTAAATTTCATACTGCTGCCTACCATCAGCTCCAGCTATGAACGTCACATCCGAATGTCGAACTATAAAAAAGACTGAACCGGCCTTTGTAAAATCACTCGGATTTACTGATCACGAGACATCAAATCGGAGCAGCATGCTTTATTGATTAACACACAAGTCCAATTATTCCAATCAAAGGATTGAAATTCAACTCATGTTGGTAAATGGATAATTACCTTGAATATATACATCAGTGATCCCACAACTTTCAGATGGTAACTTGACAGCGAAGATTCTCGAAGTATCCGCATCAAGGCATTGATTGCTACCTGCATGACTAAAGTTATGGACACTTCTGACCAAGCATTTGTCCATACTTTCCACTATAGTGAAGCTTATGAGAAATACTTGCTGCCCAACCGACAAAAAACTAGAGGTCAAACCTCGATGAGCTCAGATGGAAAACCTAATATGATTAATTGACAAAACAGCTAAACCTGAACAAAAGGTAACTTTCACGATGCCAGCAATTAAGGACAGATGACAACGTACAGTCGGGTAGTACTCCTCCGAGGTCGTAAACAGACCTCCTGAGGGCCATATTTCTACAGGAAGATCATCCAGTGATCTGGTGTGAGGGCCACTCTCCATGGCTATTGTCCGACCACCTTCACCGTGAGAGCCCTGAAGAGACAGCTGATTGCGCTTGTGTAGATGGGGATCCAAGGCACCCATTATACCAAGAACCTGTTCAAATTACCAATTTTGTTTAAATTTGGCCAATATGAAAAGTTGAGTAGAACGAGAGATATACATAGATTTATCAAACAATGTTGACTCACTTTCAAAACTTCTCTCCTTGTCGACCACGCCAACTCTCCATTTAAAAGCCGTAGCAAAAGCCCTAGCAACTGTGGGTGGTCTGTGTACGGAGCTACCACATACCTGCAGAGATGCTGATACTTAGAGTAAAAAAAAAATGCATTGCAATCAATAGACGCAAAGACACAAAGTTTCTGGAACAAGCCGTAGTACAATCTCAACAGAGGCCCATGTAAAAAGAGACTTCATATAAGATCTAGTGTATTGAAATGCAATGTAACGTTGTACTTTCAACTTGTGTGTCGAGAATAAGCAATTCTCGACACACGTCAAGGACAGCCTAGAAATCTGATGAGTAAGGTGAGTCGAAACAAAAATTTAATCTGAGATAGGACATACACTTTAAGCTGCAACCTATCCTGCTAGTTCATGGCTATCTTGAGCCTGTAAAGACGTACCCAGTGCTTTCGACCACCTGTCCCAAAGTGGCGACTGCAACTTCTCTCTTACTCGCAGATGCCCCATCCAAAAGTGCTTCTACAATCAAAGGCATCAACTCGCCAAGATATGGCCTCATTGCACAACCTCCCTAAACAAAATTACAACATATGTTAGATAAACACCAAGGTCCAACGAGCATTTCATCAAAGCTGCTCAAGGAAGCTGATCACAACTCCACAATGGGCAGGTTTTATGTGTTTCTGATCTTTAAAAAAGTGGTTGACTACTCACAACACGAGCTAGCTCCCCAACAGTTGACAGCACTCCTGTAACAACCCCACTGTTGCTGCTAGCAGGAACTCCTTCAGTCAACTTCACCACCAAAGCCTGTTTTGAAAAACTAGCGTGGTTAGAACTCGATGATGTGGAACGTTAAGAAAAAAATGACAACTTGTAACAACTTGGACAACAATCACCTGTAGACCATATTTTGAATTCGGATTCTGAGCAATCAGATGAGATATGTTTTACACAATTTCGTAATTGTCCATGCTTTGTCCAACCTAGAAGATATATTACAAAAAAAACGAAAGTTATATCGATTGTACCTTCAGCACAGGGGCGATGTATGGAAGAAGCAAACGCTCGCATGATCTGATGAGGCAACCTAAGAGCTTCGCACTCTCCTCACGATTTTTACTGTCTGCACTGCTTCCCGACAAGAGGGAAAGGGCGAAACGAATTAAATAAAATTAAGTTTATAAATCCATAACACGTGATCAACAGCGAGGGCTTCACGCGCAAGAGACTGAAGAGTACAGACATGGCAGGTGCAAACATCGGGGCTCTATCTAAGGAATGACCGGATGCATTGGGAATGCCTGGCCATGAAAAACAGGGCATAGAAAATTGGTGAAGACCTCAACCAATTTAGTCGACAGAGAGAATCCAGAACATCAGCCTGCAAACAATATGTTCGCGTAATATTGACAAAGCCTGTTGTTGTGATGAAAACAGGAGTTTGATGACTTAGAAACACCAAGTTGTTGGTTCACGTCATGGGTAAAATTCAGTAACTTAGACTTTTCTGTTCGTTAGCAAAGATAAATATTTGAGGTTCTTTGATGAAAACTCTGTTAAAAACATGGTATAGTGGGGGCATTTCTACATCGTAGAACTCATTGCAAATATCAGTAACATGCAGCCATCTTCAGTCCGTTAGAAAGAGAGTCAATAAGACAACACAGAGTTACAACGGCAAGATCAGCAAAATATTGACAAGTATAATTGCAGAACTAGAATCATAACAGAGAAGGGGCCAATTATAGAATGCAGAAATTTGAAATCAATGAGTAAAAGTGCAGCCATCTTCAGTACCTTAGAGACCGTCACACAGACAAAACAGATTCACAAAATAGAAAAACAGATAAATTTATCAATCGAGAGCTTGAGCTAGGTCAGAGAATCATACACTCGTGGTAAACATTGTAGAGAGAAAAATGTACCTGTGTTCTAGGTCAATTAACAGTTGTTGCAAATGACGACGGAGAGCGGGAAGAACATATGCGGGATTTTGATCAGCCAGCTTGCCAGCTTTACAAATTGCTAGTTCCCTCACCTCGAATGACTGCAAACCACCGGTATTGATAAATTTGCTGGACAAAGAAAAGTCAAGAATTATGTCCTAGTGAAGGGCAAGCATGTGGCTCCAACATTCCGTAGTATGTAAACTACCTCGAGTGGTAACCAATAATAAACATACCTCATCTGTTAGGGCGATGAATATGGCTCGCAAACTGTCTGCTTGAGCTAAGTATTCGTCGAAACTTGAGTTCTCCTGCAGAGCAACTAACACAAACTTTCTGACTCCACTGTCCGTATCAGCAACAGCTCCCACAAGAAGTTTCTCCAAAATCTGCGATACCCAAAACAAGCCTGTGAGCAGAGTCGAATTTAAGGCACAATTGCATAAACCAGAAGGACGATATCGATGATTATAAGGCAAACGGACCTCCTCGATGAGCAGACGGCGCTTCCGAAAGCCCATGCCAAATGCACGACCATTCCTATGGGTGACCAAACGAGATGAACCTGGCCCTCCAGCAGTAAAGGTAGAGTGTTGCACGAGCCGGCAGCAGCAAACAGCAGCTTTTCTACGCGTTAAAGCATCCTCATCCTCCAAGTATGGAACTACGGCTTCTCGTGCGAACTCAAGAAGCTCATGTCCCTGTAAGAAAACAGAATACGCGATTCCACAATTTATAGCAACTGTTACCAAAGATAAAACTTACAAATAAATTAAAAAAGATCGAGAAGTGTTCATTACAGTTTCCAGGATAATGCTACGTACGAGCAGGAAGTATAGATCACTAGTTTCAAACAAGAAGCTCCAAGGAGTTACAACAATCCTCATTTTGCATTCAGACAGCAATTTTAATTTAAACCTTACTCCATTCCATTCGTCGGATGGGATTTCTATACACTGCAGACTTAACGAACAAGTACACACGACATGCTTTCGGCCATTGAAATATTTCGGTCAAATCCTTCCACACTTGCAAATGAAAAACAGACCTGTAGATCAAAATTGGTCAACGTCTGAAGAGCTAGCTGAGTCAAGGCGGGACCAACATATTCGGAGCCAACAGGCGTACTAGGGGCAGATGGAATACGGGGAACAGGAGCTCCAGCTTTTGAAGGGCGATATGGAGCCTTCGCCAGTACAAGTGAGATTGATTCCAGGAGCCTTTCCTGAACCTGGGGAAGCAAGGAAGGCATACTACAGAGACAGCAACCAATAAACATTTAGTTACTGAGTGACAATCGCCTACTCTAACTTACAGATAAACGATTCCCTCATAAATCAGGCACACTTCAAGCTGCTGACGTTCACCACTCCATGGAAAGTGAGAAGAAATTAAGTCTTAGTTCACCCAGATGATACAAGGTATGAACCTGAATCGACATCTTCCTCGCTTATTAGAAACTGTCGACTTCAATATTAGAAACCCAATTAGTATGCTATGGCATTCTGAAACATCTAGAAACATTATTTCAATCCACGTCAATTATAATAAACGAAGGTATTCATATTTTAACATCACATAATAGCTCCAGGATCGCCAAAAAAGATATTCACCTAGAAGAGATCTGCTTGAGTGAATCGACTAATGTTGGCGTCAGACCGCACTGAAACATAAGTTCCAACAAACTTCTTACAGACTCCTCCATGTCTGACCCAAGAGCCTCTGCCAAGTTTCCAATACAGGCTAACGCTTCCATTGAAGGTTTCCCCCTACGAGTCGAGATCTGCAAACACAGGAACCAGTTCAAATACGAAATCCACTAAAACTTTACCTTCGATTTCTTAAAAAAAACAAACTATCACCAAATGTCAGGACTGAGGTGGAAAAAAACATCAACAATACATACGGAGTGTTCTCCACGATAGCAGTGGAACTCCCCAGACCTAGTGTCATCCAACTGACACAACTTTCCTTTTCACGATCCGAAACAAAAGAGAGGGTAAACACGATAAACTCTTACCGCTTCACGAATCAACACAGTGATCTGACCCAAGTATTGGACCAACTCTTTTCCAACTGCTCCTGCCATCTCTCCAAGAGCAATGAAACCGCTCGCACGCTCCGCAGGGTTGCGCATCACATTCAACAGATGTTCCATACATATCTGAAACCCAGGGGAATGTTTTCGACAATCGGGTCAACTTCCTCAGTATACATCTTCATAGGCAAGACAGTTTCAGTAAGTCTTATGAATTATGTGATTGCGGAAGCCCGCTCATCACAAGAATATGAAGAGAACACGCTCTGCACACCAGGTCCCGCTTACAGGACGTGTATAAGTGATTAAGACAACAAAGTCTAGGAAGATCATATTTCGGCAGTAGCTTCGTGCTAGGTAACAGAGAGAACATCAATTTAAGAAAACTCTGAGGAGAGCGCTTTATCTTACCTTCAAATATGAAGTGACAAATCGATCTCGAAGAAAATTTGCAATCCTGGGAAGTAAGGCAGTAATACTGCGGCGCACGAGGCGGTCACGGTGGTCCCTGTACTTGAATACAATTTCAGCCACTTCCTTGTATCGTGACATCATAAACTCTCGGGTGTTCCTGTTTCAAGATTCCATAAATCGTTTCAGTTAATTGTGAGTAGCACTATGAGGATGAAAGATTTTTCTTTCCTTGATAAATGTTTCTTCCAATTCAAACATTTTAACCCTATTCCTCATAACCCTTTGAAAGTGATGCATGAAACGGACTGCACACAGAAGTTACTCGCCAACACGAAATCGGATACAGCAATATGGGAAGTACCTTAGAAGCTCGCCAACAGCCAATAATGAGCCATGAATGCTCTCAACAGTTGCATTCTTCCCTAAACCATCTTGAGTCCTTTCGAACATTCTATAGTACCTGCAAGAAGGGTATCGTAACGTTACGACTCTGCCACTCATGAATCAAGGCCATTAGCAATCGAATATTTGCAACTCATAAAACCAAAAGAACAGGAACATGGATAAAACATAGAACTATGTACAGCTTTAGGCTGCGATAATTACATTTTGGATCCAAATAGGATAGGTAAGCAAGTTCTTAGAACTTACCATTGGACCCGCCAGCGAGTTTCTCGCTTTTCGATGACACATAGGCATGCTCTAAGTGCTTCAACAGCACATTCCCTGACCGCTAACTTTGGGTCGCGTAACGCAACCCAAACACCCTCAATAAAATCCGATACATGTACGTTAAATACCGTTGGTGCATTTTCCGCCATTTCCTGATTAAAGAGCACAAAGGAATCATCAGCTTATGATATCAACAGCTTCACTTCAGATATTCACCATTCAAAGCTTCTTATAGTCAGCCACCCAAACCCTTGTGAGAGTGACAAGCTTCTACTACCTTCAATCACTAACTTTGCGCGCAAAACACTTCTGAACTGTTTGCTGTAAGGACGTCCATACCCATCCCAGAGCTCACGTGTAAAACCTAGAAAGATTTAGGCCGTCTGAAAAGAATAGCAGAGTTCCACAGACCAAGTCCAACCTGGTTGAAAACGTGAGAGCTAGAAACTTTTCTTTTATTGGGACGAGAAGAAATGAACGAAGGTTAAGTTCTAGCTTCCATCGAATGAGGTACATAAGGGCCGGTCACTATTGCATTCTCTCCTGGACCTTCTCATACAGACCATCATACATTTAAGCAGCAAGTAATCAACCACAAGGGCTGAAATATTTCGTCGAGGAGAAAAGAGTTCAGACCAGGGAGGTAGAACTGCAGGGGCTCTGGATACGGCAAAAATCGATACATTGTCATTGGAGCCATTAAGAACGTAACAGAATCATGGCATAGCATCCTGATGAAGAGATCGACAAATTAAATGTACAACATTCATAGACTACCAAAAGCAGAATTCCGAGACTCAAGCGTTGGGTGAGTTGCAGAAGGAGGATAAAAGCAGTCATAAACCATGGGAATGAATGCACACGTAAGAGACAGAAATGGGAGATGGTCCAAACAACGAGCGCACAGCCAGAACAAAGTCTCGTATAGTTCCTCGAATCCGATGCGAGAAAACGAACCGAGGACCATCGACGGCATCTTCCAGAAGGGCAAGACTCCATAGCCACATAATCCCGGGTTGTTTCACCAGAGTGTACCGGGGTGGACAGACCATCAACAAATCGACTCTCGACGAAAATAAAACAACGTATTCCTCAAATGACGTAACCGCATCCAATTTTCACATGAATCCATGTAGGTAAATGCTTCTGAAATCAGGCTACCAAGCTATGAGCAGGGTATTGCGAAAATAAATATGCAGCCGCAATTTTCGCTTAACGCTTTTACGTCCTATAATTCATACTAACCACAGATAATGTGTAAATACTACCCATCTGTACATAAGACTATACTTTCAGAGAACCACGCTATGCGTGGTACATCTCTCAAAACCTTCCTTTTTATTTCGACACCGTACTACACACGGGAGTGACGAGAACACATATTATGATATGGCTGTTCCGTTCGCGATTGCAACTAAAAGTCACTATCAGGAATGCGAACGGCCCATAATTGTTGGCTCAGTTCTTTCCGCTCTTCCAGGAAATTTAACATGTATACATGTACACGCGTGTGGTCACTGATGCTTGATTGACGGTAGGAACAACAGTAATTTATCTTAAGGATGAGACGCGGGTGGGAACTACTCCTAAAATAAGATACCTCGATTCGTCGCAGGGCTTCTCGGCTTTCGGCCACAATTGGCTCAATTGATGTGTGGCTTGGGCTTCCATTTCAATCATCCAGCCTCGAATATTAATGTGAACGTATGATCATTTCGGAATTTTGGAGGAACGGAATCTTCAGATTATTCAGCTTATTACATGTGATCAGACAAGTAAAGGAGAGAATGCCAATTGTCACGTGAGCATTCGAGTAAACCAAGACGAATTTTTCACGTTATCATAGATTTTGAATATCAAAGGAAGGAAAATGAGATGAGATTACTGCAGGAATTAAGTACGGGAGATTAACCTTTAGAATCAGGACAGCAGCAAAACGTCTCGCCTCTGCACGCTCGCCTTGACCTTGTAGCCATTCTAGGGCACGCCTGACCTGTATTTGACCAAACTTCAAATCTTTCCCTCACTTCCATCCATTCTATCTCAGACTATATTTGCAATGTAAATCTTCACACATGACAGAGACCGAAAAATATTGATGGAAGTAGGAGCAAAATTTCCAGGTGAAGAGTTGCATCTATAACCTTCGATGGGTTTGATTTCAGAATCACAATGTGCATTGAAGATTTAAAAATAAAAAATATATGGCTTCGAAGGAGATAAATCTGAGTTGTAGTGCACTAACCAGCCTGATCAGCTCAATGAGATTGACAAACAATAAGCTAGTGTCTACCCACTGGCAGTTTATTTTTGAGCTGAACATTGAGGAAGCAGACCTGATACTCTACAACATCAGCTGTGAGGGCTCCTCCAACCCTGGCTAGATGTCCCAGCGCGATACTTGCAGCTTTCATTACTTCTGGGTCTTGCTTTTCCTCGAAAATCATTTTCAGATGATCCGCAAATTTTGCAATTTTAGTCGCTGTCTCTCCCAGTCGGACATCGATGAGCTCATTGATAATCTGTATAGCCTGAAGATTATCTGCGACTTCATTGCTCTCCACCAGTCTGGAAAGTTGTTCGTACAGTGTATCCATGTGACGCGCTGAGGCCTCTCCCCCCATATCACCACATACCTTCAGCATCCTCCCTAACCCCTCATTTCATCGTCCCTGAATTCATATTACACTGTGCTTCGGGCAGCAACACACCTCACTGATTTTCATCTCTGTCTGCGCATTCTACTCCTCTCCAACTCACCATCTCCAAATTCCTCCTACTCTGATCGTCTGTGCACTATCTACAACGCGTACGCTACCCTACCTCGGCAATTCAACCCTCGCGCACTCCGCCCCTCAATTCACCTCCCCCTCCCTCGCTCGCTCTGCTCCGACTGCGAGCTTTACACCTCACCTGCTGCCCTCTGCTCGCTCCACGGTCTTCGAGGCCACCGGCATCAAACCTACACAATTGCACACGCTGATTCCAAGTCTACCATATCGGGGACACCATCGAAAAAAGGAGAACAAACAAAATCCCTGCACATCACGACGAACACCACCCCTCCCTCCTGCCCTCCCCTGCCCTCGCTCGCTCGCTCGCTCTCCTCTCCCTCTCCCTCTCCCTGCCTTCCCCTCCCACTCTCTGGCACCCTGCGCTCGCTCCCCTGGCCTGGCCTTCAACGTCGCTCGTTTTCGCCACACTCCATCGGAAGCTTTGTCTGCCAGATCGTAGTCATCGTCCCCAAACTTCCGCTCTGCCGTCGTCGTCCGGCCGTCCGACTCGCTCGCGACCCGCGAAGGCTTCCGGCATGATTAGGGTTTAGAACCGTCGATGCAGCTCGACGGGAAAATCACGCCTCTGCCTGTAACTGACTGACGCCGGACATTATTTATTGTGGCAGAATCGCCCGTGGGTCCCGCAAATATAGCTGTCGGAATTGCTGGCTTCTCCGGTCACCATCCGTCCTCCAGCGGAGCAGCTCGACTGTGCATGCCGGACGGCCGCATTGTGGCCTGGTGCTCCCTCCCTTCCCGTGCCGGGTTGTGACGTTTGCGAAAGAATCCCGGGAACCGACCTACTGGTCCCGGTTGCCGAGCCAGCTGCGAGTCGCAGCCTTCGTTCGCGCTCTGCTTATCCACGGGCTGGCTCCGGGCGAGGGAAAACTTTATCACCACAGCTTCCTTTTTCTGCATTTTAATTTATCGTATTCTATCTTTCGTGCATGAAGGGACGGATCCTGCTCCGCCACAGACAGAATCCGGCTTCCCGATGCGGCCTGTCTTCATCCACTCCGTCGCGGTTCTTTCAGACAAGCCTGAGCCAACCAGATCTCCCCTTTCTCGGACGAATGGACGAATAAACGGCCGCGGGCCAAATGGACGAATCACCGCGCGGATTTCGACCCGATTGTGCAGCGGGCCACGAGCTTCCGGTGACAAGTTTCCTGGAGACTCGAGAGCGACCTCGAGCACTCGCTTCGCAAGGAAATGGCGCAACGCCATCATTTCACGTGTCGCTCTTATTCTCTTCCTCTTCCTCGTCCCGCTCCTCAGCTTCTCATTTCATTTCTGGCGTGCTTGATTGGGGCTCCATCGCCTACGAGCCATCCCATCTGGAACGAGGTTCGGCTTGAACAAAACGTAAGCGACATTGAAATTATGAAGTTGGCGCCCATGTGAAAAGACATTTAATGCCTTCACTTCTCGAGGTTGATAAAAAGGTTTCCATTTCCTTTACCGCCCTACGGCGAGTAAATGTGGTTTCGGTTGAATTTACTTCGTCATGTCCAAGCGGAGCTGGACTTCATACCTCGGACCCAAAGCGTGGAAATTTAGTGATGTCGAGTTGTAACAACAACTAATTTACGATTATCCAATCTCTAGATAGATTATAGTATACTTTGCTTTGTTATTATTTCAATTTCTTCCCAAAACAAACATGAACTTTTCGTTTTCTTTTCATCAAAGTTTGCCGAGTTCCGTAGGGATAGTTATCTTACCCCAACGATAATGTTCCTTTTGTTTTTAATGTTTTCTTGGTATCCAGTAGCTGTTCCTGCTCTAGCGCAGACAGCGAGTACATGGTTCCTGGCGTACCTGGTTCGCACACGTCCATGCCTTTCTGAGGTCACATCGGTTGCCTTGTCTTCTTGAGGCTGCACCACTTCCAAGCTCCAACCCACTTCCAAACTCGATGAAGACAAACGTGGTTCCATGCGAGGAAAGCGGCTTCTGGCTTGTCTTCATCGAAGATGCTTCCATCCATGTACATGTTCCACTTTCCATATTTGACAACTCGATCATTTGCCCATGAAGTTTGCTGTAAATTTCCATGACTAGTCGTCATGATTTTTGTAGCCGCGTTCTTGCTACAGTATGTGCCCATGTAGAGCATTTACAACAGGTGATCATAATACACTAAAACAACAATTCCCATCATTATAAGACTAAGTTCCATAGCTATAGGAAAAAAGTAAGGTCATTCAAGAGCAAATTGGAAAATGAGGAGTTCGAAAGTTACGAATCGCTCAATCAATTTTGATTTTTGTGCTCAAAAGGCTCTTGTGTTGACTGCAATCTCACTTGTATGCTATATTGTGGGATAACTTTCGCTGTATGCGTTCTGAGAGTAGACAAAATGTCAGTTGATGGTATTTTTGTTCATATATCTTAACTGTGTTTTGCGATCCAAGATGCGCACAACCAGCTCAATAACACAATATTTTTTATACATCATAAAATACATTTTTATATATTTTTTATATATTTTAATACATATAGTTTAAACAACACAATAGTGTTGACTTTGTCTCATTCTCTTTCAGTCTATCACACTGATAATCATACTATGACAAATTTAAGTAAGCACTTTTTAAGTTGTTAGCATGTTCCCAAACTTTATAACAAACTTTATGTCTTTCACCTCACAATGAAATAAAACCTTCATATTCTATAAAATCTTTAGTTTTGAAATTTCAGTTGTCAATTAAGATAAAAATCACATAACTTGAATATTATCACATTCATATTACTTACTCCTTATCCCCATAAACATTTTTCAAGAAGCCAATATACTATTGAATCATGAAATTTATGTAATTTTTTTAATGTATACATACATACACACAATTTTTTTTACATTATAGTGTGTATAGATAACATTATATTTGGAAAAAAAATATTATCTGCTCAATTGTCTTACAAAATATATAATTTTCTCTACAAACAAAGCTTGCTTCATGCTTGAACTTATTTCCAATGATAAATATATTTAGACGAATAACATATTTTCTTAAAACATGCATTTCTTTTTTGGTTTTTTTTTTTGTGCATTAGTGATCAAGCAAAGTTAAACTTGATCGGGTGTTAAAATTTGACTTGCTTGCATTATGTAATTTTCCATATATGCGTATCATTATTTTCATGCAGTAAATGCATTTTTTAATGTAATGATCACTCATAATGAAAATTCGAGATTATAATGTCTAATGTTAATGATATGTACAAAATTTCAACTTGCATGTATTAACTTCAATAATTCAAATATTTATCATGTAAAATTGAAATTGAAAATATTATGTTGAAATCTGAAATCAAATAAAAATGCATTTTCAGATTATTCAGCTATGAATGATGAAATAATTACATATTTAAAGTGTCAATTTAAATAAAATTCTAATTTTTGCATTACATCCAATTGGAACTTTAAATATTTTGAATAAGTATGTGTTGACGGTAAAATCAAAAAAACAATAAACACTCATGAGAAACAAATGTAACGTGCTTCATCATCGGGGAGGAGAGCTACATTCACCCAGAACTCGAACACCTTTACAGTCATGTCCAAAATGAACTCTATGTGCACGGTGAACCTTGAGGTTTTTCTATCCAATCTAGGCGAATGTCATGTTTATAAATAGATAGGACCCGAGGTTACTCTTCAACATGAATTAAACTTGATATTATTTACCTTAACTCACGTTAAGGAACAATAATCTCTATAACATACATTATTGCACAGCGGAAAATTCTAGATTGATTCTAACATAGACTTCTAACATATACTACTCTTTGCACAATAGTTAACTAGAACTAAATCGTAGCCATAACATGATAGAGTAATAAGATAAAGAGTGAACTAAAAACCACCTAGCATAGAAAGATCAAAAATCTTGTAACCTATATAATTATTTCCTTGGAGTTTTTAGAAAGAAACATAATACGAGTTATCTTTTTACACGAGAGTTAACTAAAACTAAGCCGTAACAATCACATGATAAAGTAAATATACAAAGAGATAACTTAAGATACTATCTTAGCAAACTCTAACTCCTTCCTCATGCACAACCTCCACGATAGCTAAGCCTCGGCGAGGTAAGATAATCCTTTAGGGTTACCCGGTAAAAGTGTAAAAGGTAAGGGTAAAGGTAATACATTTGGCTATAGGGTAAGGTAAAGGTAGGGTAAAGTAGAAACTCGATGGTTACCAGGTAATTACCCAGTAATCCGTGAAAAAAAAAATGGACATTCATATTCTCCTTCACTAACCCTAAACAAACTTACAATCAGATCCAGCAATATTGTGCGATGAAGTGAGGAAACTGATTCAACTCTTTCAGACTATACTGTGGTCTGCGAAGCTAAATTTGCAAGACATTGCATGATGTTACTAGTTTGAGTAAGAAAGCCATCACTTGCTGCAGTTTTGTAATCCGACGACGAGGTCTTTTAATTGAAGTCATAATAGTACTAGCTTGAATAGTTGTTCGGCTCAATTTTTAATGCATAGATCTCCTGTCTGTCTTTTATTCTAATTAGATCCGAAATTAAACAAACTAAAAAAGATATACCTATTGTAAACGTTAAGAGTTAGCATGGATTGGATTCGACTTGAATCGTATGGTCGAGTGAATTAGACTTCAACTTTATCTCCATCTGAGTGCACCACTTGAAAATGGGTTCCATTTGGACTGAAATTTTTTTGTCAAAATGAGATAATTTAGTATCTAAAATGGGGGAAAGCCGCTTCTAATGGCTACGGAGTTTAGTCCTTCATTTATACTGCATATAACAAAATAATTCATGTTTCTCATGATTGCGGTATTCTCTCTCCTCTATCATTGTTTTACACACACTCTCTTAAGCACTAATGCTAAATAGGAAGTGAAGAAGAAACTTAGAAGTCATAAGTATCTGATTCATTGGCAACATTCCAATTCATATCCCAGTTCCTACAAAGGAAGCGGTTATTCATCGACAATGAGGCAGTAGACATCTCATAGTGTTACGATAGAAGATCAACATGTAGCTTAAAAATTGCATTCAAAGAAAACCAGAAACCGCATACGCCCAGTAGAATCTTTATATGATGCGTCCAAAACTAAAACTTTTAAACCTTTTAAATCCGTACCATGTAACCGGGTAATTACCCTGAGGTAGAGGGTAAAGTTAGACCATAGTGTTACGCATAAGGTAATAGGTAGGGTAAAGGTAAAGGCTCATACTTTACCAGGTTACCTTTAACCTTACCTTACCAAGGCTTAATGATAGCCCAATGTCGCCTGAAACTCTTTAAAGAAATAACTTTGACCAACGCATCAGCTGGATTAAATTTACCATCTATCATAACTAGTTCAATCACCAAAGTTTACCGTCAAGATTGACTAGCTCAATCATTAGAATTTATGTCCAGATGGACTAGTTCAATTACCATAGTCTATTGTCAATTTTGACTAGCTCAATCATCAGATTTTTACAGTCAAGATTGACTAGCTCAATCACAAGAGTCTACTTTCCATCTTAACTAACTCAATCATTTTATCAAACACTTTTGTATGATAAAAATCTGATATCATTGTGCTTCATGGTAGTCTAAATAGCTTATATTGTGCACATCTTGATCATTAATCACATAATGATCAAACTCCGCCACAACTATATTTGTGAGCAAAAAATTTCACTTGTGAGTACAAAGATCTTGAAAATTCTTCCCCTCTTTCAATGAACTAGGTTCATTGAAACACACACACCTAGTAACAAGAACCTTACAATCTACAATGCTCACGACTAACTGTCGCTAGTGACTATCACTAATTGTCGTCCGCGCCTGACTGCGCCCACGATCAATCTAAGCCATCGTCCACATGTGATCACACCCGCAACTTACAAAAAAACATTGTTCACAATTTATCATC